TTAATAATGCCACCCCTCCCCCCCGGCCCACAGTCCGTGACTGGTGGAGGACGGAGAAACCCGGGGGCGCCATCTCTCGTAAGGTAACAGTTTCCCCTTTGCGCACCCAGGTCTCTGTCACACAAGCCAGGTCGACCCCCTGCGAGGTAAAGAAATCTCGCAGAGTGGCGGTTTTGTTGCCTATAGACCTGGCATTGCACAACACCAGTGATGGAGGTGAGTAATCCTTGCTCACCCTACCCTCGTCCCTCGGGATGGGGCGCAGATTGGAAGGGGTACGAGCATATCCGTATCTCGATCCCCTTCGCCTATAACATCTGCCCCCACCGCCATACCTCCCTCGCCCCTCCACGGTAGCAATCCCAAGCCTCATACAAGCCTCCATTTACAAAATAGAAAAACAAAACAAACCAAAAACAATTATACCTAAACAAAACCAATCCCCACCCCAAACCACAATAAAACGGAACAAAATAAAAATACATAGATAAAAACCACTGTTCACGGTGGTACAACAAAGTAAAAAGTAAAAACACCTTTAAAACACTTTAAAATATATAAAAACGTTTTTAACATTTGCTGCAGGAGCACCAGTGTCCTTAAAACTGTAGCAGAGGTGAGTCTGGGCCCCGCCCCCTAGGCCTGGTGGAATTAGCCTGAGGAGGGAGCGGCCTTCCCCAACACTCACGGTGCAGCAATAAAATAGTCCTGTCTACATCTGTATTAACTGCAGCTAGAATGTGCATCTCAACCTATGGGAGGAACCCCTCCACCCTTGTCTGAATATCTTTTTGGGGTGGGATGTAGCTACAACGTATAAGCTTACGAGAAAAGAAGTATTGTTTCAAATCAAATGTATAGGAAAATGGACATTTTTTTTATTTCCTTAGAAGGGGGAGATAGTACAGAAGCTACACAAACTACGCAAACCTTTCTTTCTTTGTTGTGTCCCAACAATTTCTAATACTCCAGAAGTAAAATAGAAGGAGATTAAGGACAACTCTCCGAATAACTATTTAGAAATGCTTCAATTATGCAACTCCAAACTAAACAGAAAAACTAATTGAAGAGGCATGCTCAACATCGTAATACATGTCTAACATACCTGGTTTGGCCTTAATTTGCCATAATCCAAGATAAACACTCAATATTTGTATTAGCTAAGTAGCAGCCTAGATCCTTTTCTAATTAAAAAGTTAGCTATTACTCACAGGATCTTCTTTTTCAAAAGCAGTGTAAGCATACTTTAAACGTTTTAATATTTCATTTAAAACCCAGTCTCTTATCCATATTGCAAATCATTTGGCTTTACATTATTATTAAGTATGTCATGGTCTATTTTAGCAGTAGCACACTCATTCCTACTGGTTGCAATTGGTACCTCTTTATTTGTGCTTGACGATCACCAGCATATCATGTTCCATCGGTTGCTTTCTGCTCCCCTTTAGTGCACTTTTTCTGCTGCTGCTCTCTTATTTTCTAAAATTATTTTAGTAAATAATTATTTCCTTATTATTTCTGTAGTTTGCCCTTCCTTCCTTTCTGGCAACCAGAATGAATTGTTCTTGTGGCTGGTTCATCTGAGATGACTTAGAAGTTATCGTATTCTTCACTCTATAGGACGCACTTTGTTTTAGAGGGGGAGAACAAGAAAAAAAATTCTCTCCCTCTCTGCACAGCGCCCCTTCAGCGAAGCAGCAGGAGAAATGGCCCCTTCCATTTCTCCTCCCGCTTTGCTGAAGGGGCGCTGTGTAGAGAAGGAAAGCTGTGCAGCACCTCTCCAGTGAAGCGAAGCCAGGAGAGCAAGAGGGATCGGTGCACACTGATCCCTCTGGCTCTCCTGGCTTTAGCGAAAGCAACCCGAAGCCTCCAGAGCGCAGTGGGACCTCCCGCTGCGCTCCAGAGGCTTCAGGCGGCTATCCCTAAAGCCTGGAGAGTGAGAGGGGTCGGTGCGCACCGACCCCTCTGGCTCTCCAGGCTTCAGCAAAAGCAACGCGAAGCCTCCAGAGCGTGGCGGGAGCACTACCACTGCGCTTCGGAGGCTTCGCGTTGCTATCACTGAAGCCATGGAGCCTGCATTCGCTCCATAAGATGCACACACATTTCCCCTTTATTTTTGGAGGGGGGAAAGTGCGTCTTATAGAGCGAAAAATACGGTATTTTCTGCAATAACCTTTGCAAACACTATTACACAGCAAGTGCCAGAATGACAAATGTGAAATGTGTAAATGTGTAAAGTGCAAAGGCTTAGGTATGTCTCCTGTTGTGCAGCAGCCGATGTCCAGGCACTCATTAAGAATTCACCATATAGTTATCTTACAGAACTGTGGTATACATGTCTACTTCAGAAGTCTCTTTGTGTTTAATGGGGCTTATTCTCATCTAAGTGTGTACAGGCTAGCAGCCTAGGCTTCAGTTGAGAATTGACATTGGGGAAAATGGAGTTCTTGTGCTTTAAACAGCTCCATCTCCAAGATCAGGAGCAGCAGGTTATAGCTGACTTGCCATGGTAAACCTGAGGTTTTTGGTTGGCTCAGTTAGAGAATTAGTAATGACTGTACTATCTCACCTTTTGTGTTATGCCATGCAACCCATGGCAGCCATTTTCTGACTGTCTCCCCCAGCTCTCAGAGCATTTGAAATCCCACTTGTAAAGAAAGAAAAAAGAAAAAAAAAGGTTGGTAAGCTTGTCCTATTTCCACATAAAGCACACAGAACACTTGTGCAGTCCAAACTCTGGTCTCTCCTATATGAAAGGCATACAGACATAAAATGTATGATGTGCTCAGCGCATGAAGAGCTGTTGCTGCACCAAAAAAACCACAAAACCTGATATGCTCCATTGACTGAACAAAGTGGGATAAATTATTCTGTCCCACTCCTTCTCCCCCAAAAACACTGGTACTTGGGATCACCTGGTGAAATTAATTAGTAGTGGGTTCAGGACAAACAAACAAACCTCCAAAAATGACAAAGTTAAACTATGGAATTAAATTTCACAAACTCATAATGGACACCAGCACATATGACATTGGATATTAACAGATAATTAGTCCTGTAACAATGGGGACAAATCTGAAATTTTCTGTGGTTTGTTGTTGTAGATCATGGCATTAGTGCAGTTGGCATAACTTTTCATCTTCAGTTGTGACAGTCTTTATCAATGGGGGTGGGGAGAGAGAAGAAAGACTGATGATTCATGACAGCCAAGACATCCTATCAACAATAAGATGACTCCTGAATTTTTCCAGCTCAACTTCAAGGTGAATGAGGTGCTTTTCTTCCATACTTCTGCTGACTAGGGCGTCTTCTGAAAACCCAGGCAAGATGCAAGCAACCAGGCAGAACTATCAAGGGCAGTGAAAGCCTTGCATACATTTCTCTGCATACAGATGGGAAACTGTGAGCCCTTTTAAGTGTTCACACAATGGGAGGGAGAAAAGCAGCTATAGATCTTGTAAGTATAACCAGGGTGGGTATCCCACATGGTTGGCCACTGGATCCTGTAGGACTACAACTTACATCATCCCTAGCCAGCATGGCCAATGTTTAGTCCAAATAACATCTGGAAGGCTGCCCCTGGTGTAACTATTCCAGTGATTATCAAGACAGCTTGCCTTGCATTTTAGGAGACAGAAAATTTAAAAAAGGAGTAGAGTTGGAGTGGCTCTTGTGCACAGTAGCAGCGGAACCCCTCTAATACACTGCCTTGGTCATCTCACTGTTTTGTGCATTTGATATTTCCCTCATTTTTCTAGAGCCTCCCAAAAAAGGCAGAGTATGATTAACATATGGGACATGGCTGGCGCTGTGGGTTAAACCACAGAGCCTAGGACTTGCCGATCAGAAGGTTGGCGGTTCGAATCCCCGTGACGGGCTGAGCTCCCGTTGCTCGGTCCCTGCTCCTGCCAACCTAGAAGTTCGAAAGCACGTCAGAGTGCAAGTAGATAAATAGGTACAGCTCTGGCAGGAAGGTAAACGGCGTTTCCGTGCGCTGCTCTGTTTCGCCAGAAGCGGCTTAGTCATGCTGGCCACATGACCCGGAAGCTGTACGCTGGCTCCCTCGGCCAATAAAGCGAGATGAGCGCCGCAACCCCAGAGTCAGCCACGACTGGACCTAATGGTCAGGGGTCCCTTTACCCTTTTATGACTAACATGCAAGTCACAGGCTATTGCTGCTGCAACCAGACTGCTCCCTGAATTTAGAGATAAAGCTGCCTTTTCAGCATTTCCAGTTTCTTTCTGTTAAGAAAACAGTCTGCAGATAGGCAAACTTTGCCTTCTCCAGTTATATAGCCACAAATACGTTTTGAATACCCGCCCCGCATCCTGCAAATACATTTCTCAGCCATTTCCTTGCCTTTCTATCTCTGACATAGTTTAATGGAGTACTTAATTCATTCCGGATATCAGTTCTTAACCTGAAACTGTTCTTAACCTCAAGCACCACTTAAGCTAATGGGGCCTCCTGCTGCTGCTGTGCCGCCAGAGCACGATTTCTGTTCTCATCCTGAAGCAAAGTTCTTAACCCGAGGTACTATTTCTGGGTAACCTGAAGCGTATGTAACCCGAGGTGCCACTGTACAGCATTTGAAGAAAGCATGCGCTGCAGGTGAAATAGAATGGCAGTTTTTTCAGCCCCCTTCAAAATTTCCAGTAAGGAGATCAAGCCCTAAAGTTCCTCCCAGTTTCTGGCTGTTCCCATAGCCAGCCAAGGAGAGTTCATAAAGCACACTTGGCAAGACACTCAATGGAGCACTGAATTACAGACTCTTCAGAGCTAATGAATTATTGCCCAGTACAGTCCTCTCAGACCAAAAGAAATGGAAGCAATTCACAGAGCTGCTATTATGTCCTGCCAATTTAAAAATTAAATCACTTCTTATTGGAGGAGCTGGATAAAAGTATTTGAACAAAAGTGGCTCTTGTTTTCAAGAACATTTTTAAATTAAATGTGATGGAGAACAAGACTGATATGCTTATTTAAACATTTATTTTAAACCAGCATCTGCTACAGGGACAAGTTCTAACTCATACCTTGGAGACAGTAGCAGGAAAGGACAAAACCACTGCTCAAAAATCTTTCCTTCAATCACGTGACTCAAGCTGTTATAAAAAGCTTTCTTGACCACTAATACAGTTTGAATGCAACCTGGATTTTAATCCTGGGCTCAGCAATGAAGCATTCTGATCTAGTCACATGCATTTCATATAAGTAAGACTTGCGTGGGTGAGTTGGCCAGTCATTTTAAACAAACAATGTTTCTTCCCATGCATACACTACAAACAAACTTGTGGGCCTAGTCTCTTGGCTAAATGGCAAGAGTTATCACTACTGTAATGAAAATAGCAAGCCCTAAAAAAATGGTTCTGTACACATTTCCACAGATTCATTGGCTCATGAAGCAAATTTTTAATAGGGTTTCTGAAGTACTAGATAAATCAATTCATTTTACATTAGCAGGTGACATCAAAGAAGTTGAGGAAGGAAAAACTCAATAAACAGAATATCAGTTGCAGCCCAGCAAGTGGGCTAAGTCCATGAGGGTCTATGATATAATTTTGCTGCTAATTCTTTCTGAGAACAAATCCATCTGAGCTATTTTACAGTGCTTGATGTATTAATTACTGGTAATAAGTGATGGTCAGCCCTCTAATTATCTTCCACAGGGTGACGTGCCTAATTAAAGACAAAGAGAAGGTAGGAAGATGCAACAATGGTAATCAACAACAAATAACGTATGATTAAAGTAAAGATATAAAGATACATTACATACAAATTACTTTGCAATTCTTCCATTTTGATTTCCACAGTTAGTTTACACCTCAATATATGTACTTTTCCGATTTTCATATTTTTATTATTTTACATATTAACTATGTGAATTCGGGTATAGGGGAACTTATTAAAATGCTGCAAGACGAAATCAAGGTACCTTTATGCAGTGTGATATAGGCTGCATGCACACTAACCCATTTGTTTTTCTCAGTCTAGAAGCATCCATGTTTGCCCCTAACATGCTGCTTTCTATCTAGATCAGGCATCCCCAACCTTCGACCCTCCAGATGTTTTGGACTACAATTCCCATCATCCCTGACCACTGGTCCTGTTAGCTAGGGATCATGGGAGTTGTAGGCCAAAACATCTGGATGGCTGCAGGTTAGGGATGCCTGATCTAGATTAATTCCAGATCCTCCTGTCCACCAGGGTGGGAGTGGCTACTTGATACACATTTGAAAACCCTCCTCTTGGTTAGGTTATCCATACATTTTCATCCCTTTACATGCCCCAGGTAAAGGAAGAAGTTATTGCTCTCTTGGTATATATGCCCTACCATGTCAATGGGCAGGTGTGGGTGCATCTGGCTTCAAATGGACACACTGTGGATTAATGCACAAGAAATATACAATGACTTCTATTTTCAGAATGAAACTAAGTTTCTCAAAAAGTGCTTTTGGGTGGGGGGCAAAAATATGCAAAATATCTAGATTATGTGTAGACCACATAGAATAAACAAGTACTCAAGTCTCCATTGATTTTAGAATAATATATTGTGTCTATGCAACAGTAATATATGGCCAAAGGTTCTTGATGCAATTGCACAAAAAGGATCTTGATGGGATTGCATCAAGATTTGTTTTTTCATGGTGTTTAATCAATGTGCATTAGCTAAATTTGTGCATGAAGAAAATAATATTTGAACCCAAACTGAAGCAACTTATGCCTACCGCACTTCCAAAATTAATTTTAGAGATTGCCCAAGCTAAACCAGAGAGAAGGGATAGATTTTTCTTATGGAACCATAACAAAAAGAGTCCAGGAATTAAATCTTATAATAATATTCAAGGGTTTATACACTGCATTACTACAGCTGAGCTAAAACCAACTCCAACTGTTTTGGTGTCACTTTCATTCCTGTGGAAACAATTCCTGGTTTTTGCAGTGTTTGCTTCCTCAAAATTTCATTAGAAGGAAATGTGTGAAAGCCCTGCTAAGGTTTGTTTTAATGGCTCCAAGTTGTTTTAATGCCTGTGCAACACCACCACCACCCCAAACTTGTCTGACCAAGATCAGGGAAGCTCAGCCAAAAGAACCGAGGCAAAGTCTAGCTGAAATTCCTTAGCATGCTTCTCTGTGAAAAGAGTACCCTTCCTCCCAAGGCTTCATAGTTCTGTGGGCTAGCTCAGATAATTAAAGACCAGCCTCTGAGGGCTTTTACGCAGTTCTCCCTGAGCCCCAGAACTTTGATGAAAAACAGGGAAACTATTTAAATTTTGTGTAATTTGTTTAGCTGCTTTATGAAAGCTTCCCTTGTTCGTCACAGAAAAAGAAAAGGAAAGCTAATGACAATTTGGCTCAGCTCTACTTGCACCTGATCCACAAACAAACAAGCAAACAAACAAAAACAGAACAGAACCAGAAAGGCACTTTCTTTTAAACTTGACTTATGCCTTTAGAAAAAAATTGGCACCAATTCATATTCTGTTTTCCAGATATATGCCACTGTCTTGATGCACTTGCTAATGAGTCTTTGGTGAAACAATTTTCAAGCAGGCTGTATGCAGAGACACAGAACACTAAGGCACAAAACTACAATACTGGAACACCATCCCTTCGCATAATAGTTGGGAGTATTGCAGAGTCCCATAAAGTACAGATCAGGTTGGTTGGTTGGTTGGTTGGTTGTTTTTTTGCCTTCTGCTGTATGTTATGAAGCAACTTGAAATCTTCTTCTAGCTACAGGTGGATTTCTCTGGAATGATTTGGCATGGAACTGTGAACCTGAAAGCAAAAACATTAGTAGGTAATATTGTGGGTCAAGTGGACACAGCGCATTTGAAACAAAAGGGTTCATGCTCAAATTCTTTTGATGAATGATCTCTCCTAGCCTTGTTTTCCTATCAGTAAAATGGGAATACAGTGGTACCTCGGGTTACAGACGCTTCAGGTTACAGACTCCGCTAACCCAGAAATAGTACCTTGGGTTAAGAACTTTGCTTCAGGATGAGAACAGAAATCATGCAGCAGTGGAGCAGCGGCAGCAGGAGGCCCCATTATCTAAAGTGATGCTTCAGGTTAAGAACAGTTTCAGGTTAAGAATGGACCTCCGGAACGAATTAAGTACTTAACCCGAGCTACCACTGTAGTAGTGTCTTACATCACAGGAAGCTGATCAGAAAATACACAAGTTGAAGCCAATAATATGTTAAGTACAGATCAACTATTTCAGACAGAGCAGGGATATGCTTTTGGTTTTGAACTGATACCCAGTCCTGTGCAAATTAGGGGCAAGAGAATAGGAGGGGTAGGAAGGGCCTGCAACCTCATATAAGGCTTGTGAGCAGAGAAGCCAAACTTGCTATTAGGGACCATTGGGATAACGAGTCCTTGTTTGAGGTGCGTGAGTTTTCATTTCCCGCCAGCTGTTTCGGGGGGTGCATCCTTTCTTTCCCTATGCATGGTAGAAGTGTAGTGATCAGGTGGGATTGTTATGAGGAATTATAACAAATATAGAGTAAGCCATCTGTGTCAGCAATGAAAGCATTGCATTGACTGGGTTTAAACTATTTTGATATGATTCTTGATCAATCCATACCTCTGCATCCCTGTTCCATTTCTCTTTCTTCACCAGTCACGTACACTGCCAGTTGCTTAGCCAGGCAGGCATCCTGGGCCATAAAGATAGTGGGCAAGTTTCTTTGAAGTAGCCTTTCCAATATGTTAATCTCAGGATATTGATCTTAGGGCCTGGAAATAGTTTCACAGGAAGGTGATAAAGATACCTATCTCCTTGCCATCCTTCCATCCTCTCCTGTTTACTCCTGTTTGTGATCTCCAGAGTTTCTCTAGTCCTCTTTTATTTACTCTCAGATTAAATAAAATATGCATGCTCAGAGTAGTAGTCTTTGTCGTTAAAAGAATTTCTTTTGCTCTAACTTTGTCCCCATGTGGGGTCTGTTGAAATGCTCAGAAGAAATCTGATTGGTTCTTATGAACAGTCTGTAAAAAGTTCTTTGGTGAATAAAATGACCTAGGCCGAGGGGTAAAAAGACACAGAGAGAGAACACTATACGCACCCTTCCCAGAGTCTTGCTGGTTCAAGCCTCTGTGTGTATTCTTATTAATCAGAGTTCAATCCTTCCTTTACTTTGTGAACGCCTCAGGTAGTAGCAAGAGCAATCTCTCTATTAACTCTATTGGGGATAAGTCCAGTGTTGCAAATGGGAGAAAGAAGAGATTTGCCAGCCTGACAAGTAAAACCCTAGGTGAGTTCATCAATCAGGTTGACTTCAATCACCTTGACAAATTCCAGTTTCCTAATGATAACTACCTGATCCACACCCTTCCTGATCCCTGCCAGAGGAATTTCCCTAGCGCTGGCACTGCCTTCTTCCTAAGCCACTTGTTTTCTCGATTCCACATCTCCTGCAATCCCCAGTCCTTCAAGTTTCTGCCTCATTCACATCATTGCATTTTAGTCTACTGTCAAATTGGTGCTGGATCTTTCAGCCAGGCCAACTCTCCCCTCTTCCCCCTTAGCTTTCTAACCTTAGGGGCCAAACTATACAATGCATCATGAGAACGCACACCAGAGGTTTTTTTTAAAATTGCAGGCATGGGCAATCCTGATTTTCATCAGGACAGCATACACAGAGGGGGACTATTCAGGTTTAATTCTTCAGCCCCAACCACAACGCTGATATGAACCAAAGCCCCCCCCCCATACTGCTTTTAACTTTGGAGGAAAAGCCCCCATTAGCACAAATGCTGGGAAGGGGAGGTGTTGCCATCAGAATTGCAACTGCAAATGGAAGGATTAAAACATGTCTTCCTGAGTGCTGTGGTCCCCATTAAAACCATGCTCGTTATTATTTTTTTAACACTAAACCCCTTTTTCTAATTTAGCATCACCTGCAGCTCGACTCTCAGTCTGCCTGCCTAGCCAGAGCACCGTTTCTGCTTCTTGCCAACATGCAGCTACTTCCACTTGCAATCCCAAGTCCCCCACCACACCAGACTGCTCTCTCACCAGCTACTCCGCCCCCCCCATTGCCCTTTCTCACAGGCTTCTGCTGAACCTTAACTCAGGTTCTAGTGAACCTGCTGCCTATGTCTACCCACTTTCTGTCTCTTAGCATCTTACCCAGTGTCCTTTCTAGTTCTCAGAATTTCTGCCTGTGCACTGAGTTCCCTCTGTCCCTTGAGAGGTTTTATCAAAACTCACTACCCTACAAGGATAATCATGGGCAGCAGGAAGTAGAATACCTCTGGGGATATTTTGTTATTAAAAGTAGTCTGTGCAAGTGCAAGAAAATACATTATTTCACGTTTAATAGATAGCTAGACAACATGAACTGATGGAGAACTTCAATTCTGCAAAAAAAAATATGTGTGTGTGTGTTTTGCAAGCATTGTCACCTTTCACTACATCGCCAAAGTTAAAGAAGGATTGCTTTTCAGTTAATTTACTTTTTACACTGAAGAAGAGTCTCCATTTCTTGTGTATTTCACAAACAGAACAGTTCTGGAGAATATGCTTGGGCCAGGAGGTAATGTAACCTGGCATGAACAGTCATGCTACACGTACACATGATGAGTTTATGAGATCTTAAAATAGCAACAACCAATTACTGTGGCAGGAGAAAAGGACTGGAAAGGTAGCCCTCTGCTGGCTCTCTGCTAATACTACAGCTGTACAAGAACTTAGTCTTAGATGAATTAAGTACATATAGCTACAAACTCTTGAAAAGAGCCACCCTAAACATCTTGACTTGGGGCTTCAACTGAATAATGGGGTTTACTCATGCTGCAGTAGTGAACACTAAGTGAATAGCTGCTTTGCAAAAACTGACCAATTTATTGAAAGTCTATGACCAATTTATCAAAAATCCTTGATTGTACCAAGGAATAGAAATTAGTATAAATCCAGTAAAGAGTCTAACAACATCTGGAGGGACCACATGTTCCCTGTCCCTTATTTACTGGATTTATACTAATTTCTATTCCTTGGAACCTCATTCACCCCCAGCCAGCATAGCCAATGGATGAGGATTGTGGGAGTTGTAGTCCAACAACATCCACCGGTTCTCCACCCTTGCTGCTCCATTAAATTTTGCCTGCTGCTGCACCTCTTTCATATAGAGGCAAACTAGTATAAAATGGTTTACAGCATTTGTTTTTTGGGCTCAACTTCTGATGTAAAGAACAATGCTTATTGCTCATTTTACACCATTCTCCCACAAATGCTAATATGCTGAAACTGAGAATCACAGTTCTGAGGGGATTGGCATCTTGTGCTACAATCTTCTTTTCTTTAATAAAACAGAGGTCTTACCTATCAATACCCCATGACCTGTCCACATTTGATTAGCAAAATCCATAGGAGTCAATGATATTTTATGAGGTGTATCTGACTGAAAGAGAAAAACAGATGTTTACCCTTTATAGCATTCACCCGCCCGCCCCGCCCCCCAACAAGTCAAGGGCAAACTATGCCTGTGACTATGCCTGTGTACATACTTTATTAAAGCTCATTTGGAGTATATTCTTTCCCTCAAAGAATTATGAGCCCTGTTGTATATCGCCACTGAGAAACAATTCCCAACAACCCTTAGCAAACCAGAGAGCCCAGAATTATTTGAGGGGAAATGTGCTTTGAATGTCTGTTAAAGATATAGCGTGCATATAGCCCGTGACATGAAAAAAGAGCTATGAAGATGTAACTATTCCACAAGGAGCATTGAAAAATGTCCAATACTAATTCCACTTTCCTGTTCAGCACTAAAGGCAATAATGTGGTTAAACAGTGAGCAAACATTCAAATCTTTGCAAGTGGGATATTCTGGCTTTGGATCATTCTCCCACCCCCAACACCACAAAACAGGGTGTTCATTCCACACACATGCACACCACAGCTTCTCAACATCTGGTGTCATTTCTTATGAGGCTGGGGTGTGTGTTTTTTAAGGGGGGGGGGTGTCCTTTCTTTTTTTCTAAAAAAAAAATTAAGCACCTGTAAAACAGGGTTGTCCCAAAGCGTAGAGTAACCGCAAGTCAGCTAAAAACTCTGTTATGCATGGTTAGCATGGTTTGGGCTACAAAGCATGAGAATATGAAGACTTTTATTTGTATTAAAGGAATGGTATCTGGAAGGCAGGAAATAATTCCTCCCAGAATTGCAAGACTGCATACAACTAAGCACATAGGAATAATCTAATACAGTTTAACAGGGAATAAAAGAGTGGTATTCCCACCCCCCATTTCAATTCCATTTTCTTATTAAGAGTCTCAAAAGCTTTCAAATACCTACCCGAAATGTGTGAGTAGTATTGGGTCTTGAAAACTGATCTATTATGACAGTTCGCTCTCTAAGTGGCCGCCGTTCTGCACCATCAGGTACCGCGCTGGAAATTCTGCTATGAGGATACCTTCCTTTATGCTGGAAAATGTTTGGGGTAGGGTTGAGAAAAAGAAGCAAGTCCATCACTGGGAAAAGTGTAAATTATTATTAGCAGAAGTATGCTTTTGCTTTTCAACTGATTATTTTTTGTCTTCCCAAAAGCTAATTTTCCATTAGTCACAAAACACTGAGAAAAGAGCTTCTAAAACTATTTACTTAGGCTTTTTCAATTGGGTTGCAAATGGATTAGAAGAGACAGATACAAGCAGAATTAAAAAGGCTAGGAAGGATCTGCAGCTCCTGTCTGCATCTATCTCTGGAAGCAGAAGTGGGGTGACTGGCTCCAGAGAAGGTAGCAAGGGTCTTCTCCTTCCCGCAGTTTTTGTTATTTTTTCAATCGGTGGTGAGGTTGAAAAGTAAACAATTCCATCTTTTTTCTGGCCTTAGTTTACCATTCACAAGGTTGGAACAGCTGTTTGCTTGACTTATGCTAAGGCTGAAATGACTTACTTTGACAATTCATATCCATAGTGCTTAAACTACATTGTAATATTTGGCAATGTAGTTCCAGTTCAGGGAATGCAAGCTAGATATTTCCCAGCAGGAAAATGGGTAGCTGTTTAAACAACACTGTTAACTAAGTTGCCAACAAAGAACAAGCATATGGTGCAAAAGTGAAGCAATTAAAACACAAAACAAAGTATCATGCAGTAACTATGTGCAACAAATGAAGCGATATGGATAAGTGTCAGTGGAGCAACAAATTGAATAAAGATCCTTGAAAAGTTACAGAAAAATACATTTTGCTGAAACTATTAAAAGTTATTACGTCATGCTGATTTCATGTAGAAGTTGTAAGTTATAATGAGAGAGCATGATTTTTACAAGGCCACTCAGCAAGCTTCATAGATGGAAGGAGAATGGAACCTAATTTTATCATTTGCAAGCCCAGCAACTAACAATTGTACTTGCTTGATTTTCTCTAGGATTTAAAGTGCTCCAATGACAATACTATTAAATTCTCAACTGAATTGCTAATGGTATAAAACAAAGAATGACACACACACACTCTCTTACAAAGCCTAGCTGCGATCCAGGAACGGAAAGATATTGCTCAACGGCATCTGATGTAATCGGTGGCAGCTTGTTCCGGGCTGTAGGCAGAAGTGGAGAGGACAAGCGATCTAAGGCAGTACATCTGTGGGCCAACAATAAGGATACATGAGATTATATGTATTTCACTTCCTTCCGTCACTGCAGGAACTATTCTTAATTATCAAAGGTGATCAAGGGTCTGGAAACCAAGCCTTACGAAGAGAGCTTGAAGGAGCTGGGTATGTTTAGCTTGGAAAAGAGGAGACTGAGAAGAGATATGATAGCCATCTTCAAATATCTTAAGGGCTGTCACATGGAAGAGGGAGCAAGCTTGTTTTCTCCTGATCTGGAGGGTAGGACTCGAACCAATGGCTTCAAGTTACAAGAAAGGAGATTCTGACTCAACATATAAAAAAACTTTCTGACAGTAAGAGCTGTTTAACAGTGGAACAGTCTCCCCCAGGAGGTTGTGGACTCTCCTTCCTTGGAGGTTTTAAAGCAGAGGTTGGATGGCCATCTGTCATGGATGCTTTAGCTGATATTCCTGCGTTGCAGGGGATTGGACTAGATAACCATTGGGTCCTTTCCAACTCTACAATTCCAACAACAACAACAACAGAATTCCTGTTAATTAGAGAGATATAATATTATGTTCTTTGTGAGAAACAACACATCTCTTTAAAATATGATATTCTCCAAAAATGTGTTGATGCCAAAGTCATACTACTGCTCACGTTTCCCATTGACTGTACATGCTATTTCCCCCTTAATTGTCAAATGGAACCATTTCAAAGATCTGGCCATTAGTTTTTAGTGCACACACAACTGGGCTGCAAGCTTAAAAATAAATTAAAACCTACATCAAGTCAAATTCAAATTCAGTGCCAAGAATGGCTGAATTCTGCAACCTGAATGCTGCCCCTCAGACCTGAATCTAGTTTCTGTGGAAATAAAAAAAATATATTGTCCAGTAGCACCTTAGAGACCAACTAAGTTTGTTCTGGGTATAAGCTTTCGTGTGCATGCACACTTCTTCAAAAGTTGGTCTCTAAGGTGCTACTGGGCATTTTTTTTATTTATTTTGTCTGCATCAGACCAACACAGCTATCTACCTGAATCTAGTTTCTGTGGTTTCACCAGCCACTGTTCACAGAATTTCAAAGCTACCCTCAAAATGTGTAGGAGGGAACAGAAATAAAAGAGGGTTGGTCTCAGTGCCTGTTTCTGAGATGCAACCACAGGGTGGTGAAACACACCCTAACTAACTCCCATGCTTGAGCTTAATATGTCACTAGGGTCATGAAAGTGAAGAATACAAATGAAGCCTCACAGTTTTGTCCCCCTAAGGACTTCATCGCTGTAAACATTGGGGGTCTTTGAGCGCAGAGGATCTGTAGCTATTGACGGTAGCCTACGGTGGCCTGCTGTTTTTCTAGAGGATCCAAGCAATACTCGGGAACATGAGAGAACACTACTGTCAGGAATTCGCCCCAGCCGATTTCGTGCTGAGTTAACACTGGAACCCACTTGCGGCTTGTCTTCCTGCTCATTCCTGAAAAAGAGCAATTTCAGCAAATGTAGTTGCCACTTATACAAGATTCAACCCTTCTGCAGCCCGCCCCCAAAGCCCTTTCCCCCGCAGAAGAGAATATGCAGCTTTAATTATACTTTATATTTGAAATAAAATAATTTAACCAAGGCCCAAAATTAAAACACATAACATAAAATTGAAATGTTGACTTCAGAAAGGCTTCATAGAGCCATATGTTGAGGTATAGATTGAAAAATAAATATAGCATGCACTGTGAGAGTGAAATGTGATCTCATAAGTCTTTGCAACACATACTGTATCTTTTCTGTTAGCCCAGAGTGCCTCTGTTGCAGTGGCTTAGCTTGGATTGTCATGACACCATTTAAATCGCTGTGTAAATTGCTGGGAAACCGGTGGATCTAAAGAAAGCAACAGAAGCAAATCACTTAATGTTTTCGAGGTAATTTATCAATATGTCTGAAGGCCTAAAACATGTGCAACATTGTGGGTGAAGATGTGCAAAGTTACCTAATGCAGATGCTGAAGAACATTTCACCCTATGCAAAAAGCATGTATGAAAACATGAAGAAGAAACGGATGCCAATTCTATACTTATCCCTCTCTCTTTTTACACAATAACACAGAATTACCCTACAGGACAGGTCTTATTATAAATACCGTATTTTTTGCTCTATAAGACTCACTTTTTCCCTCCTAAAAAGTAAGGGGAAACGTGTGTGCGTCTTATGGAGCGAATGCAGGCTGCGCAGCTATCCCAGAAGCCAGAACAGCAAGAGGGATTGCTGCTTTCGCTGCGCAGCAATCCCTCTTGCTGTTCTGGCTTCTGAGATTCAGAATATTTTTTTTCTTGTTTTCCTCCTCCAAAAACTAGGTGCGTCTTGTGGTCTGGTGCGTCTTATGGAGCGAAAAATACGGTAATAATAACTACTAGTGTAATTTTGTTGAGACATATCTACAGTAATACCTCTGGTTACGAACTGTCCTCCTTATGCACGCTTCGGGCTACAAGCTCCACTAACCTGGAAGTAGATGCACCTGGTTGCAACCTTTGCCCCAAGATGCGAGCGGAAGTCGCGCGCCAGAGGTGCACACACAGCGGTTTCGAGTTGAGAACAGACCTCCAGAACGAATTAAGTTCATAACCAGAGGTACCACTGTACAGGCCACAAGTAACACATGAGTTATCTTGTACATGTTGCAATCAATAATAAGAATAATGATTAGTGTAGAGAGAGAGAGAGAGAGAGATGTTAACAGGAGTGGGTGTTTAATTAAATATCAACCTGTATAGCAACTGCTGCAAAAATTTCTTGCATCATTTTAAATGCTTGCATCTTGATTACATGAGTACTTTCTGTGCCAGCATCAGTGGCCCTGAATGGAAATATGGGAACTAGCCATGAGCAACAGATGCAATAGGCCTCTTTAATACATGGTTATGAGAGTTGGCCACAGGCTATGTGGAGAATGTGAAAACTGGAGCCTTCAGCATTACTAAATACATATGATAGGAATTCACTTTTTTTTTTTTAGCTGTGTGGCTCAAGGACTGCAATGCATTGTGTCAAGGAAGAGTGCTAAGCAGAACCAGAGGGTTGTCTTGATTGTGTTTATGTATACACACAAAATAAACACATGTATGCACACATCTAAAAAGCAGCTGCTGCCTGTCAGGAAGCCTAAAGGCTAAAAACAAAAGGCCAGTTGTGGAATGCTGAAAATCAGTATATGTCATACAACCAGTGCTTTTCTTCTGGGTACACAGTACCAGCACCTTCCCTCCCCCCTGCCCCAAATGTTTAAAGTGTGGTACTTAGTTGCTACTTACTGTAACAACTTCATGGTGAGCGGTGGCACCTTTTTCCTTTAAAAAAAAAAAGCAGCACTGCATACAACATCTTAAGGACAGCAGAGGTGTGTGTTGAAGTGTGGCTGGTGTGCTAGAGACCTTGGCTGGGCATGGTCACCGGCCACCGAGATAGAAGGAATGGAGAGGAAAACCTCACACAGGGCCTGGGGACTGGAGAAGTTGTGTACTGCTGATAAAAAGGAAAATAGGATTTCATATGCTGACTAATGCCAGCTAGTTGGAAGATATTTTACCTGTGATGGGACAAAATGCAAACCAACAGATGTGCCTCGAGCCTCTGACCCTCTTGATGGGGGTACACTTGATGTCTCCATTGCAACACGGGAAATGGATAGATGTGGTAACTTGTTTCCAGTAGCTTTCAATTTCTCCATCTGTTTGTCATTCTCTAATTCATCATTAAAAAAACCCCAAATTTCAATCAGACATAAATGTAAACATTTGCTTTAGCACAGTAAACTGGTGAATATGTAACAACTTTTTGCACAAATAATGGTGACTGCCTCCAAACCATAGTTTGGAAAGCAAAGCAAGCCTTAGGAATACATGTTCCTCTTACCATTTTACTCTCTTCTCAGGAGTCAGTGCTAACCATAGGCCCATATTACACATGCCCAATCAAACGTGCACAAACCATAGTTAACACACATCATGGCCCCCAGTATCATATGTGAATTGGGCCATGCAGACCAATACAGAAATGAGATACCATACATATGGATATGTTAGCACAGACCATCTCTACTGCTGCACACCACCCCAGCCTCTGAGCAGTGTGAGATTCCAGGACTTCCAGGTGCTTACCTTGGATTTGTGTTTCTTTTGCGAATGAGACACAGAGGAGACTGCTATGTGGTTTATTTACAAATACAGTGGTACCTTAGTTTACGAACTTAATCCGTTTGGAAGTCTATTCTTAAACCAAAGCGTTCTGAAACCAAGGCATACTTTCCCATAGCAGCGAGGGACTCAATTTACAAATGAAACACACTCAACGGGAAGCGGAACATGTTCTGGTTCCAAGGCAAAGTTCACAAACCAAAACACCTACTTCCGGGTTTGCAGCGTTCTTAATCCAGGTTCTTCATAAACTAAGCTGTTTTTAAACCAAGGTACCACTGTATATACAACCTGAGTCTACAATGGAGGGTTCACAGCATTAACATCCCCAAGAAGCCTTGCTTCCCCCATATCCACAGCTTCGGATTCAAACACTTCCTTTCTTCCCTTAATGGCCCATCACCCAGACTATCACTTCAACAAGAAGCTAGCCTGGTTTACATTTTACCACTTTCTGCATCCAGGGGTTATGAGGGTCTCGGCACACGGTCAACTCCCCCAGCCCCTCCCATCACCATAATTCATAACAATACATTTCTAAAACATATTTAGAATGCGTTGGAACTCCTGGAACCACAGAGATCATATAAAGCATCCATTTTTAAGAATGTTTTCAGAAATGGCTTTTCCATAAACATTCCAGTTACCTGTGATAGACGATTCCCAGTGTTTCCTTATTAATTCTTCCAGTACTTGAATTACATTCTTCCAGACGTGATCGAAAACGTCCGCAACCACAGCATCTTTGATACAGGCATTGGGGGAAATAGGAGGAATGCCATGTTTAACCCTCTTTTGGGCAAGTTGATATATCTTTTGCTCCAACTTTTCATCATCACTAATGATTGAAGCAAATTGAATCTTTATTACCAAGCACTACTATCTATTAATAAAAAACAGTCTACTTCTATTTACACAATCCTGTTATATAAAAAAGGGCGGCACAGTGCTACTTAAAATCTGCCAAACAATGAGCATTAATTATGTAATATTCAAATTCTACAGGGTGTAGGGATGCTTACTACGTTATATAAAAAAACCTATGACATGTCTACGACATGTATGTAAAAAAGCATGAATCTATGCACATGTCAAATGTGTTTCTAGCCACTGGGTCATACAGATTAGCCCCAACCCCCCTATCATTTGATCATAAACTACTCATACAATCATAGAATTGTAGAGTTGGAAGGGACTCCCATGGGTCATCTAGTCAAACACACTGTGACAGAAGGCACATGTGTGCTTAATGTTTAGGGAGGTTTTTAATGATTGAAGTTTTATTCTGTTTTTAGTGTTCTGTTGGAAGCCGCTCAGAGTGGCTGTGGAAACCCCGCCACATGGGAGGGGAATAAATAATAGAATTATTATTATTAATATTGTGACTGTTTTTATTTGGAGAAAAAGCAGATTTGGAATGTGCTTCTGATCCAGACTGGGGGCTCCACATGGGTTTTCTCCTGATAATTGCTCTTTCCTGGCTTGCTTTTTTTTTTCATCTGAAAGTTATTTACTGCAAACAGCAACTTTGTATTCAACAGCAGCCTGGCAGGGACCATTTACAGCTGCAAATTGGTGCAATGGTACGATCTGGATTGGAAGTCCACAGCAGTTTGGAGACCTAGGGATTTTTCTTTTGTAACCAAAATAAACAGCAGGCAGGTTAAGTACACTAGTTTAAACACATGACTAATGTGGTGTACAGTCTGACATGATAGTATTTGCCATTATGAAACAGTTCTTAGAGGTAAATCTGGTTCTTTTCAAACTGCATTATAATCCATTAAAAATCAAACATTTACAGTTCCTTGTTGTCGAATGCAAGATACTCTTCAATTTTTCCTTCTGCATCATAGATTTCTTCTTCCAAGAATGAATATACAGGTGATTTCGCTAAAGAAATTTCTGGTAATTCAGAGCTGAATGCCTTCTGCACTGGAAAAGCTGCAGGAATCAGTTTAGAGCCTGAGATGCATAACCTAAAGACAGCAATTTTAACACAGAAGGGGGGGAAAGTGCAAAAATTAAATATACACTAATCTTTTTATAGGAAAGTAAAATTAAGCAATTAAAGCATTTTTTAAAAATGTCATGAAGCAAAAAAATACAGGCTAGAAATATAGCAACTATCTCAAATTTTTCAGAGATGTCTTCCAGTGGCTTTAACCCAGTCAAGAAATCAGAATTTTTCCAGGTAGAAGAAAAACAGGAGGATGTTGTAACTGTGAGAAGCCATGGGATTCTTTTGCTAATCACCTACAACAGGTGCCTGAGCACTGCTTTGCAGACCTATATCCAGGACAAATGTCTCATGTTGCCAATAGTTGTCCAATGTATTATTTAACCAAGAAAATGGCATAATACACAGTATGAGCTTTGCATTAAAGATCAAAGCTTCAGAAATAATGGCTGTTCATTTCGCTAAGGCAGTTGCATTCATATTCTGGGAATATGTAAAATGTGTACTAGAGCATTTTAATAGAAAATAATGTCAACCAAACAGAAACAGGAATATGTCTGCATTAAAAGAAAAACTTACTCTTTCATACTGCTGGTGATTTCACTCAAGGTAGGTAAGGACCTGGAGTAAACAGAGCTGGCAGTTCTGCCCTGGTAATGCTGAAAGCCCTCATCCTTTGGGAAAATAAGCTGTTTTCCCAAAATCCTGCATAAAAGAACAAATATAGGGTTGGCTAATGAAGTGAAAAGAAAATGCAGATACATGCAACACATTCTTTTTTTTTTGAAAAGCACTCTGTAGCATAGGAAGCCAGAACTTTAAATAGTGTTAGTTAATGCCAATCTAATTCCCCCCATCCTTGGGAATAGTAAATTGTCAATTTTGCTCTATGCCGATGATGTAGTTTTGTTATCTCAGAATAAAATCTGACTTAGGAGGATGCTGGTTAAATTTGGACAGCTGTGTAAAAAAGAATATCTAAAAATTAACTACGATAAAAACCAAGGTCACTGTATTTGGCAAGAGGACTACCAAGTCCAGGTGGACTCCAGATGGTCACACCCTTGATCAAGTACTCAGATTTAAATATCTAGGATTACTTATTGATGGGAAGTAATCATGGAAACCCCATCTGGAAGCAATTAAGCTAATATCTGGCCGTTCTACTGGGCAGCTATATAGGTTCTTCCATTCAAAGGGTGGGCAGTTAATCAACTCACAAGATGCTCACTACTCAAGCCAACACATAAGAAGTAAATAAAGTGCACATTTGAGTGAAAATGCTTCTAGAAATAAATTATTTAATCCACATGCATAGACTTGCCTTAGGTGAAGTGATCTGTTAGTCCAATCCTTGCATTCTGCCTTTAGACTCTCCGTTTGGGAACTCACTTTGCCTTCAAACAACATTTCATCCACATCCCAAAACAGCTGATGAACTCTTTGTGTATTAGCTTTATCAAATTCCTGGGGAATTTTAGGTTAATATTTTCAAATAATATTTCTATACATGTTTGAAGCTGAATAAAATTACATATTTGTCACTCTAGTTATTTAGGAAAAGTCACACATCTTTTAAATAGTGTTTTTATTCAGAGAATGGAACTCCACCAAAACAGGTGAGGCTATCCTCCTTTGGTCTGGGGTTGGCCAACTTTCCGAGAGCTATGTTTCACCAAACATGTTACCTGCATCACTCTCTCTCTCTCACTGCCCCGTATACAGCAACATACTACACATACACACACTCACCACAAATGCAAGTGCACAGCACACCCTCTCTCTCACAGCATACTCATACAGACATCACATGCACATCATGCACTCAGGCACACTCACCCCAAACCTCCCCCAATCCCAGCACTGTGATGAGAAGAAAGATGAGGATGGGTGGACTATTCTTCTTTATCCCCAGCACACTGCTGTGCTGGGGAAGAAATGACTCTGGCTGGTATTCAATTAGGTTTTACTCAGATAAGACCCAATGAAATGAATGGACCTAATTTAGTCCTGTTCATTCATTTTAGCAGGTCTGCACTGCTTAAAATTTAGTTGAATGCTCCACACGTCACTGAGCTGGGCTTGCCAGAGAGGTTTGAACCTCTCATCTCTGCCTGGCCCTATGATGTGGTATAAACCACTTCTCCTAGTTCACTGCTGTGATGGGAAGGAAGATGAGGGCTGGCAGGTTAAAAACGCAAATGGCTTCACAGGCCTATGAGCCCGCAAGTATGTCACTCCTTCACGATCAAAGAAATTGGGCTCAAGATAGCATGATTACTGCAGCTAGCACAGCATTCTTTATTTGCAAAGGGAGGAAGAATCACCTAGCACTGTGCCTGGCTGTTAAATTCTTCCTGTCAGTGTTGAAAAGGACTAGTTTGCATGGGCAAACCAGCTTCTACAAAAATGCTTTTGACCATATGAGGTGACTCGTGGTGTGTGCATGGGGGGGGGGGGTGTAGCAGCATGGGGAAAGGAAACATCAACTGTTCAGGTAGGTTTGGGGCAGCAACATCTGCTTCAGGACAGAGGTGCTCAGATTTGGACTTTGAAGCTGCGGTCTTAATTTGCATAGTAGCAAGTTCCTTGAAATGACCTGAGCAAGGTTTACAAGAATCTTTCAAAGTGAAGGTAAAGGAGAATGTGAGAAACAAAACAGATTCATAGTAAAAAAATAAAAAATAAACAGCAGAAGAGGGTGAGGTTAAAGTTGATATAAATGATGAATACTAAAATAAAATATTTTAATTTAGAGTATAGAAGAGCACTGAGCAGGGCTTTTTTCTCCTGGAACTCAGTTCCAGCTCCTCTCAGGTAGGCACCATTGCCATTATAAGAGAAAAAGGGAGGCGTTCACGGTGAGTTCCAGCACCTCTTTTTCTAGACAAGTAGCACTGGGACTGGGCATTAAAAAATATTGGTTTAGATCACAGACCACTGATCCATGGTATTCAAGACTACAGCTCTCATCTTCTAAGACCACTGACCATGCTGGCTTTGGTTGTCCAACAACATCTGGAGGGGCAGAGATTAGCTACCCCTGATCTAAATCAACCATATTTGCACCTGGCTGATCAAGATCACAGCACTGAAAGCAGCACGCAAGGCAGAAACAGTGTTCAGTAAGGAAGGTAAACAATAGTTTTGCAAGTCTGGATTATTCCATGCAAAACAACGTTAAGTCTCAGTATAGTCAAGGAAGTCACCAAGCGAAAAACTAGTTTCTAACGTAGCTGAGTATAAAAATTGACCTTGATTTCCAGCTAAGTGCAGTGGAGGACAGGACATAATATTGGCAAATTAAGAATTTTTCAGGAGAGGATACACAAAACCTGTTAATAAATGCTAACATACATCATCTCTCCAGGAGTAAACAGAGCTTCTTTCAGTAGATGGGCCAGTGGTGCAACTCTGAATCCCAGACCAAGAATTATTCAAGTCTGTTGGTGTTGTCCGTCTGCTTGATGAAAGTGAAGAAACAGAGACACTGTGGATGAAAAGAAATTTCAAAAGTAAGTCATGGTACCATGTCTCATTAAGAAAGAAAGCAATTGTGTTTCATTAAGGACTTTGTGGCACCACAAAGACTAACTCCCCACCCACCCCACCCCAGAAAGCCCTAAAGAGCAGCAATAGTAGCTACCAAATATAAAATGCCATTGATTGACTCTTGTGGACAAAAGGTAGATATCTCATTCAAATATACTGGCAAAATTTAAATATGCAATTCCCCATACAAAATGGTGAAGCTCAGTTTAGCATTAGGGCATGAATGGAAAAACTGTGGCCCTGCAGACCAGCTTCCAACAATCACAAGACTCTTTATGATTCTGTTAGTGCATGACAGATATACTTAATTGACAGACATACACAAGGCCACACATTTATACAGGTGAAAAAGAAAAGTAAGAGTGAGGCCAAAAGGATAGAAATTTTTAATACAATCAGCTGTTGATATTCTGGCGCAACTTCTTGGAATATTCCAGTTTGTACAGTGAAACCTTGGTTGTCGAACGTAATCCATTTTGGAAGACTGTTCAACTTCCGAAATGTTTGACAACCAAAGATCAAAGGTCGATCAGCAAAGTCAATGGAGAAAAAAGAAAAAAAACTCCCCGGAAGCCATTCAGTTTCTGAAACTCATTCAAAAGCCGGAGCAGTTACTTCTGGGTTTTCAGCATTGAGAGCCGAAACATTCCAAAACATAGGCATTTGGGAACCAAGGTTTGACTGCACTTAGTTTCCTAGGTTGGGGGGGGGGGTTGCTGCAAAACCTTGCTAACAAAATGAACACTTTCATGTGTAGAAGATTTGCACTACTCTCCTTTTAGGCTATTGTTCTGGCCCATTCTTCTTCCTTAAAGTAACCTTGAGCATTCTTTCCCCACCACAAAATCTTAAAGAAGAATGATTTCAGCAGAAAACGCAAGTCACAATACCAAAAGCTAACTAGGATTCAAACATCTACTTGGGCTCATAAAAGGAAACTGCACTATCCCTAAAGAACTTACAAGACCCCACCACCACCACTGAAAGCTGAATGCCACACTACAAACTACTTTAGAAATCCCCAGTTTCAAATTGCCATGCTATAATGTGACTAGGACAGGTGCTGCCCCAGAAATGCTGCAAAGCTGTGATTTCCAAAATCAATTTCATATATATATGTACACACACGTATACATACACACATACACACAATTTTATCTTAATCTTTTAACACATACTTATGTTGTTATTCAAATAATGTCAGACATAAACACATACAATGTATATTTATCAATGGCTTCTTGCACGCTTTTGGTAAAAGGTGCTGGAAGGCCATCCTCACTCTTTCCTTGGAAACAGCGGTCTGCGTCTCCTTTAGATAGTCCTTTTCTGGAAGAAAAGAAGGGGGGAGGGGGAAAAGAGAAGCCAAATTAATTCAATTTTATCGTACGTAGTTAAGATTTCAGCTCTTGTCTCCTTCTGCTAACACACATTCTTCCTAATGTCAACTTCACTGTGCAGGAGTCAGATATCAAAATATATTAAAATTTAAGAGAGGTTTATAGTCGTAGGTGTCTACAAGTTCCACCTTGAATCCACACAGGCGTGTGTCTTACTGGGTACTTACTTACCTATGGCAGTAACAGGAGACTGGGTTTCACATTTGAATTGGACCCTACATATAAGCATTGAGCATACCATGTATTCATGGCCACAGAGTGTTCTGCTAATACTGCCTCTTTGGAAGCTGACCATGTGAAAAGCCATGTGTTATAGCCTGCCCTGAATCACTTATAACATAGGACTTGTATTAGGCAGGAATGTCCCTAGTCAGCAAGAGGTTTTTTTTTCTGGAGGGCCACTTTGAGAAGTGAGCAAGAGGCAGAAAGACAGCACCATAACCCCCATCTCCACCCCCTAAACAGGCTTACTAGGATAAAAGGTACTCAGTCTGTCAAGGAAATTTGCAGAACACCTTTGTTTTTACTGTTAATATGTTACTGCCCTTAGTAGAACTCTGGCAAAAAGAGAGGAAAGAGGGCAGACTTCAGAGAAGCTATTCTGTGATTGCTAGATTCTGTTTATGCCTCTTTTGAACTGCATGAGTTGTTCTGCATTGATAAAGGTTTAATTTCTTCACATCACCCCTGACTGGGGGGAAAACACCAGCCAATTCCTGTAGCCAGAGCCACTTTTCTGAAAACCTCTTTTTGTATTTATATTTATTACTAGGGGCTATCAGTGCTATTTTTCTAGAAAAATAGGTGCCAGAACTCACTATGAACACTTTCCTGGTTCTCTTAGAATGCCAATGGCATCCACCTGAGAGGTGCCAGAAATGAGTTCCTGGGATCTCCCCCTGAAAAAACAGCCCTAGAGATAATTATGGCCAGTGAGTTCCAGCTGAAAAAAGCCATGATTTTACCAAATGAAATGGGCTTGGGAAAGGAAATAGTGTTGTGGGAGAGGGGAGAGGGTATTATTTGGTTGTTTTTTGTTCTTGTTTTTATTATATATTTTGGGGTTTTTTTGTCTTGTATTTTTATGCTGCGAACTTCCCTGAGATCTATGAATGAAGAACAGTACACAAATTTAATAAAATCAACAAATAAATAGTTGAAAATTGTAAGTTCTCCTCCCCTCCCTGCCCTGCCTTTGCTACGAAGCCACTTCACATATTGTAAGAAACAAATCCATGGGTTGGGTTTTTTAAAAGAAAAAAAATCCATGCAACAGGGGTGCCAATCACCAGTTTCTTAAGCCGTGTAGATATGCCCCTTCCAGTGAATCACTATTTTTTAGCATGCGCACTTCTGAAAAATAAGATCTTGTGACAGTTTAAAAAGAAGTCTCTTTTCTTAAAATACAATAACGTCCAATGTAATACAATAATGAGTTTTCACGATGTCACTATTTAGATGAAAATCTAGGCTGTTTTCTTCCATGAAGTACAGGTTTGACTATTCATTCACTCATAATATAGTTAATGATCAACAAATTCTTCCAATGAACATTTGAAAGGAAAATCTGGGGCCTGCCACTTCCTTATATAAGGCATATACTGCTTGGAGATGGGATAATGATCCTGAAATCAATAATAATATACTTTGTGACAGTAGTACTATATAGGGAGCCCAACAATTTTAAAGTACAGGAAAAGGTATGGAAATACAGCACCAGAAAGCATGCTAAGCTCTTTCATTCAAAATTACTCCTGCGGACAGGCAAGCACATTGCACTTGTTACGCTTAGGTCGTACAGGGTTTTAAATCAGTACTTGGTTGGGATGGCTCACCCTGTAAACATTTCCCCAAATGTAGCATAGCCCCACCTTAGATCCAATTTTAAATAGTAAAAAAATAGAGCATTAAGAATACTGTACAGATGCAATGGAGGGAAGGCTATTTTTCCATTGCACCATTAAAATATCATATTTACATTTTAGTATTTCCAGTGTGTTCATTTTCTTCTGCACTGTATTAGGGTGTTTACAACCCTATCTGGAAATGCAGCATTTACAAGGCACTACAACAGAAACATAGGAGGGGCCACACAATACTTCCCCCCCCCTTCCCTTCCCAAATTCTGCATAAGGCTAGTGCACGTTAAGGCCGAGTTTACTGCTCTGAATATGAGTAGGTAGATGAGCAAACGGCCAAAGACCCATTTATACCCATCTTAAGCCTCATCCCTTCTGACTTACCCTATAATAACCAGCTCTGGCTCCGGTTGTTGCTCACGTTGCTGAGGGTTGGAAGCCGCAGACAAATGGCAGGGGCAACGTACCCCGCTAACAAAGCGCATGAAAAAGCACAGCCAGAGAAGGCTCTCTGTCCCTCCCTCCTCACAAGCTCTGCTCGCTCCCTTTCACAAAAACACAGTGTCGTTTCATTTCAGCACATTGTCCTCCATCTCCCTCTAGGAAGTGTGTGTGTGTGTGTGTGTGTGTGTGTGTGTGTATAAGAGGGGAGGAGAAAGAAGGGAGGTCTTGCAGTACTAAGCTGCTCCCAGAGGCTGTTCCAGCTTTGCGTCTGTCTCATGCGCTGTTCCTAGTGCTTTTCAAAGGGCTGCGCTTCCCAGATATAAACACATCTTGTGGAGAACAGCATTCCAAAACAGCTGCATTGAAGGAGAAGGGGGAGTGCAATAATGTACAGATAAGCAAAATCTACCAGCTACAGTGTCTGCAATCTGAAAAGGTGTGTCTGACTTGCACAATAATGTACTTCTGTCACAGTGTTGATTCACAATACATTTGTCTGATGCTGAGAGGACATGGATATCATCTACTACTGTCTAGCTGGAATCATATCCTGAGTCTGTCAGCAGGCAGCTTGAGTAAACAAAGGCAGAAAAACGTTATTTAGAATTATACCATTATTTAGCATTATGCCATTTCTCCTGGTGTTCATTCCTTTCTGATCATCCAAAATATTGTGACAACATCTGGACCATGGCATGCATGAGAGAGAGAGAGAGAAGGGGAAGGCGGGTTGGAGATTCATGATGCATCTTCCTGCAGCCCTTTCATTGGAACAGAGGGGAAGGGTTTATAAAGTCCTATGTCTGAAATGCCAGATTTCCATCCGAACAGTCATACACATCAGAAAATACAGAAGTGGGGAGATTTGGTTCTTTTCAAAATTGTGCAGTTCATACATATTTCCATTCCTTGCAGGTAGGAGAGAGGTAGGGCAGGTAGATGTTACAGTTTAGATGTTAGATGTTACAGCTTAGATGCACATCACTGGGGCCTAAAATGGGCATTTGCCTGCGATCAAAACATGTACAATTAGTACATTCATGTACAGTATTCCCTAACCATAGTCTAAAAATGTTAATGTACATACATACCCTATTTTGAACGTACAGTGGTACCTCTGGTTATGTACTTAATTCGTTCCAGAGGTCCGTTCTTAATCTGAAACTGTTCTTAACCTGAAGCACCACTTTAGCTAATGGGGCCTCCCACTGCTGCCACATGATTTCTGTTCTCATCCTGAAGCAAAGTTCTTAATCCGAGGTAATATTTTTGGGTTAGCAGAATCTGTAACCTGAAGCGTATGTAACCTGAAGCATATGTAACCCGAAGTACCACTGTATTATCACAAATCCACAGAAATGTTGTGGACAACCTGAATGAAATTTAGACCACAATTTAGGAACCTCTGCACTAGGGCAACAGCTATTTGATGCACTTTAAATGCACAGTCCTCAAGTTCTGTTATGCTCTTGAATCCCTCCCACAACATACTGACAGTCTGGATGCACCATATGCAGAGTTTGCTTGCAACTGACGGAATTATATACCGGTACTATTTTGACAAATGTGGAAGATTACAGTGGGAAACTGGGGAACCTTATTCTAGGCTACTCTAAGGGCAAATGATAGCATTATCAAAAAGAGAGTTCTAGATGTGTAAAAGAATGCTACCTCTGCAGGGGCCCATGTACGGTAGTTGGTGATGTGTGGGGCATGTGAATATACTCAAAACTTTTCCTCTGACTTTTATTTGCCACATGAAAGGAAAAACACATCTACATTTTTGATTGGCAAAATGGCACAGTGGAGCAAAGATTAAATACTTCACCCCTCTGCTGCTACACGAAAGAAACTCGCAGTTTTACCACACCACCACCCGCCACTGCATTTACTGGTAAATTTATTCATTTTTGAAAGGAGCTATAATCCGTGCACTGCTCTGGTTTCAATAGAAGCAGCTTAGTCATGCTGGCCACATGACCCAGACAAACATGTGGACAAACGTTGGCTGCCTCGGCCAGTAAAGCGAGATGAGCTGGACTCAACTGTCAGGGGTCCTTTACCTTTTTATAATCACAGCACTTCAACATCATGCATTGTTTACCCCATTCCATTAGTTTCATGATAGAACAAATGTTAGCAGCACATCCAAGTGGTACTATCACCCCTGAAGAATTAGGTCCAATCTTACCTCTTTTATTAGAATGAAATAGAGAATGTTACTTGATGCCCCAAAGCTAGAAACAATTTTTTAAAAAAAATTAAAACTTTTACTTGGCTTGCCTGGTGGTGCTTAAGCCCATTTCATGAGGAGTGATGCTGGTATATTTTCTATTTCTTCTGCATTTCTTCTGCAGAGGACAGTTTAACTCTACTGCAGAGTTTGTTCAGCCTACTTGTGTCCATGTGTTGCATCCTTGTGCCATTCCTTCCCCCCAGCCCTGTGATCCAGGAGGTATTCCATTAACCACTGTTTCCCAGTACATCTGAACCAAGAAAAGGAATGTTATCAAGTTTGTAACAAGCCATGAACAAACTTCAGACTGGTTTAAGATCTTGGCTTGCTCCAAGCAAAGTATGCAGGTTGAGCTACAAAAGGGAAACTACAGTTAAACTATACTTAAACTAAACTATAAATGCCTGACATATGCATATCCAAACCATGCCATCATGCCTTGAAAATACGTTTTGTTTTCGGCAGTCATGATGAGTTTACACATCACCACTAGATGTCGCCATTAATTAGATTGTTTATACTATAGTAATTCTAGTTTTCTTCCCTTGTCCTGTCTAATTGAAATGAGCATACATTGTCTCTTATTTGTTAGCCTTTCATATATTATGGGCAATTTAGACATTCAAGCAATCTGTCGAATAAGAAACCTATAGAGAGGGTTCCTGTCACATTTCTTTCTTGTCTCTCTTCCTAGGGTAATATCTCTTCCCACTCCCACCCCCACACCCAAGATGCAGTCATGCAATTACACCTTTATATTACACAATTTCAGATGCCTTTGTACTTAAACAAAACCAACCAACACATACTATATACTTATAGTTTTCATTCTTAATTCATTCTATAGATTTTAATCCAGTTACGCTACTACAATCAAATTCAAGTTCATCAGATAAATATCATACATTTTAAAAAATTAATCATAAGCCACTAAATCAAATCCAGAATTCATAAAGAATATAAATATTCATTAATTATGTAGATAGATTCCTTCAGGTCAAAACAAGTCATTCAAGTATTTGTGGCATTGATGTTTTAATTTTTACTTCCAACATGTTGCTTCAATCAGTTCTATGACTAGGTTCATCTAACTCATTACCATGCAAATAAATCAGTCATTAAAATATATTTTTAAGTTCTTGTAGCTACTTCCCCAATTAAAATAAAACCCAGCAGTAGAATCAAGTACTCAAGCATCCAAATTCATCTATCTCAAACTTTTATTAATTAGCACATCCATCAGAACTTGTGTGCAATCCAACCCCTCATCACTGACTTAATGGAGTAGAAGGACCAGCATACCATTCTAGGTGGTGGTGGGAAGCCTTCTTCCCATTTACTCCATATCTTCTGTTGCTGCCTTCAGAGTTCCTCAGCATTTGTTGTTGTTGTTTAGTCATTTAGTCGTGTCCGACTCTTCGTGACCCCAAGGACCAGAGCACGCCAGGCACTCCTGTCTTCCACTGCCTCCCGCAGTGGAAGTTTGGAGTTTGGTCAAACTCATGTTAGTAGCTTCGAGAACACTGTCAAACCATCTTGTCCTGTCGTCCCATTCTTCTTGTGCCCTCAATCTTTCCCAACATCAGGGCATTAATTAGCAGCAAAGCAGAAGCTTGTGTGTTACTCACATCTGTTCCCCATTCCCCCCTCAGCTGAGATGCTAAATTATGCTACTGCAATGTGGATGGGTTCAAAGCATTACCCCAAGATAATCATAGTTCTCCCAAAGCCACCACTTTGGATTCCAACAGAAATCAAACATACACTTTCTCTGTCTTTCCAGCTTGCAGTTCTTCCAGCTTTTGGCTCACATAACAGGCCTTGTCCTCCATCTGAGTTGATGGAGGGGCAGCCTCACCCAGATCCACTTCCTTTGTTCCTCCCTAATGGCCCATCACTCAGTTGATCACCTCAACAGGAAGCTAGCCTGGCTTATATTTTAACACTTGCAGGTTCCAAGGGTTAGCAAGGTCTCTACATACAGCCTACTTTCCCGCACCTCAAACTCATAACAAAAGTTAATTATGATTAGCTATACTTCAGTTCTGGCAGCAGCATATGTATTAAGAAAGAATAGTGTCAATGGGGAAAAATGACTGCAATGTATTTTGTATATAAATAATTTATATGTCAAGAAAAATGCAATCAGCTTAATTAACTGTCACAAAAAGGAGACTAATTAGTGTCTTGGTAGAGGTGTTTTATTTCTTTGGGATCAGATAGGAAGCATTTACTATAACAAGATCAAGTGTCCCTGAAACAGAAGGGATGGAAGGTTGAATAAAAATCTTGGAAATGGTCCATGTGCCTCTAAGAATGGTAAGAATACAATCTTATAACAAGCCACAAGCTGCAGATAGCAATAATCTCTCCATCATATTACTGGTTATATTATATAAGACCTGGTAAACATCGGTCCCTCCATTATGTGAAGTAAGGTAGGCTGGAATTAGAAGCAGGATCCTTTTGCTATAGTGCCATTTGAATAAAATCTAACTGATGTAACTGGTTAAAAATGTACCACCCTCACTTTTTCTTCATTATTTTAAACTTGCATTTGAGAGTTCTATTTCCTTGATGTGATATTGTCTTCTCCCCAAACATGACTTTTTAGCTATGTGATTCAAAGCAATGCCCTCTTAAGCACTTGTAAATTTTGGTCAGAGTAACAAGTTTTATATGCTTGGCTTGGCTACTGAAAATATTTATCATGGTCTTGTTTTATGAAATATGTGCTTTCCCTTGGAAGAAGTTTATTGGAAATGTATTAGTAAGGATGTCGTTTGCTGATGATCTTTCTAAAACTGTTTATTTATGGTCCAACTATGTCACTTTACATCTAATGTAGAGATGTAGGGATTCTGGAGCTACTTTAAGAGAAAAGGCAAGGAGGAAGTTATTACCAGCAGTTCTAAAGAGTATCTCCCATACTGTTAATCCATACTGGAATGCTGACACTGCTGTTATATTTTGTTTTGTTTTATTAATGCCAGAAATCAGGTCAGAAAAAAGACAGAAAAATTGCTGGGATACAATGAGTTGGCATCAATATCATCTGGATGCTCTGTGAAACTTGAATGAACAAATTTTGTCTATTCCAGGCTAATTGCCTAATATAGAAGCAGCTGATATGATGCTCATCCTCATAAGAACCTTGAAGTACAATTAAAGTGGTTGCTAGACATGAGACATGGAAGGTGCCTAAAGAAGCCAGGGTGGCTATCTAAAGAACTTTTAACTGAGTTAAGATTTAAAAAGGATGTGTACAAAAAATGGAAAAGGGGGGAAACCACCAAAGAGGAATTCAAACAAATAGCCAGCACGTGTAGACACAAAGTCAGAAAAGCTAAAGCACAGAATGAACTCAGGCTTGCTAGAGAGGTTAAAAGCAACAAAAAAGGCTTTTATGGGTATGTTCGTAGCAAAAGGAAGAACAAAGAAAGAGTGGGGTCACTCAGAGGAGAAGATGGTGAAATGCAAACAGGGAACACAGAAAGGGCTGAACTCCTCAATGCCTTCTTTGCCTCAGTCTTCTCCGATAAAGAAAACAATGCCCGACCTGAAGAATTTGGAGCAAATGATTCAGCAGAGGAAACACAGCCCAGAATAACTAAGGAGATAGTACAAGAATACTTGGCTAGTTTAGATGTATTCAAGTCTCCAGGGCCAGATGAACTGCATCCAAGAGTATTAAAAGAACTGGCAGATGTGATCTCAGAACCACTGGCAGTCATCTTTGAGAATTCCTGGAGAACAGGCGAAGTCCCGGCAGACTGGAGGAGGGCAAATGTTGTCCCTATTTTCAAAAAGGGGAAAAGAGAGGACCCAAATAATTACCGCCCAGTCAGTCTGACATCAATACCAGGGAAGATTCTGGAGCAGATCATTAAGCAAACAGTCTGTGAGCACCTAGAAAGGAATGCTGTGATCACCAATAGTCAGCATGGATTTCTGAAAAATAAGTCATGTCAGACTAACCTGATCTCATTGTTTGACAGAATTACAAGCCTGGTAGATGAAGGGAACGCAGTGGATGTAGCCTACCTGGATTTCAGCAAGGCATTTGACAAGGTGCCCCATGATAGTCTTGTAAAGAAGCTGGTAAAATGTGGTCTTGACTATGCTACCACTCAGTGGATTTGTAACTGGCTGACTGACCGAACCCAAAGGGTGCTCATCAATGGTTCCTCTTCATCCTGGAGAAGAGTGACTAGTGGGGTGCCACAGGGTTCTGTCTTGGGCCCGGTCTTATTCAACATCTTTATCAACGACTTGGATGATGGACTCAAGGGCATCCTGATCAAATTTGCAGATGACACCAAACTGGGAGGGTGGCTAACACCCCAGAGGACAGGATCACACTTCAAAACGACCTTGACAGATTAGAGACCTGGGCCAAAACAAACAAGATGAATTTTAACAGGGAGAAATGTAAAGTATTGCACTTGGGCAAAAAAAAATGAGAGGCACAAATACAAGATGGGTGATACCTGGCTTGAGAGCAGTACATGTGAAAAGGATCTAGGAGTCTTGGTTGACCACAAACTTGACATGAGCCAACAGTGTGACGTGGCAGCTAAAAAAGCCAATGCAATTCTGGGCTGCATCAATAGGAGTATAGCATCTAGATCAAGGGAAGTAATAGTGCCACTGTATTCTGCTCTGGTCAGACCTCACCTGGAGTACTGTGTCCAGTTCTGGGCACCACAGTTCAAGAAGGACACTGACAAACTGGAACGTGTCCAGAGGAGGGCAACCAAAATGGTCAAAGGCCTGGAAACGATGCCTTATGAGGAACGGCTAAGGGAGCTGGGCATGTTTAGCCTGGAGAAGAGGAGGTTAAGGGGTGATATGATAGCCATGTTCAAATATATAAAAGGATGTCACATAGAGGAGGGAGAAAGGTTGTTTTCTGCTGCTCCACAGAAGCGGACACGGAGCAATGGATCCAAACTACAAGAAAGAAGATTCCACCTAAACATTAGGAAGAACTTCCTGACAGTAAGAGCTGTTCGACAGTGGAATTTGCTGCCAAGGAGTGTGGTGGAGTCTCCTTCTTTGGAGGTCTTTAAGCAGAGGCTTGACAACCATATGTCAGCAGTGCTCTGATGGTGTTTCCTGCTTGGCAGGGGGTTGGACTCGATGGCCCTTGTGGTCTCTTCCAACTCTATGATTCTATGAGACTTCAACAGAGGAGTCTGATGCATCTGCTACTCACTCTTGTAATAATGCAGATATAATGAAAGGCCTTGCTGAGTTTTCTCAAGTGGATTTATTATTCAGTTTCCAATGAATTCCAAGCTGCCCTTGCAAAATAGCACAGGTACATCTCACCACCACTTCCTCCTCCTCTATAATCATTAATAAAAGAAGAATACATTTTAAATCTTCTTGCTGCTATCAAGAGGATGTGGTTTTTGCCTATATTTTGGAAGCAATATTTTGGAATATTGTGTTGTTTTTGTTTCTGAACAAAAGGTTTCATTCAGTGCTAGCCCCCCTCAGAGTAGAAATAATAGTAGAAATAATAATAATAATAATAATAATAATAATAATAATAATAAATTATACCCCGCCCATCTAGATGTATTGATGTTAATGGACATGCATAACATAGGTTTCAATATACTCTGACTATAACTTAGTTGAATTACAACCCGTGCTCATTACTAAGCTATGCTTGAGTCTTAGCGACCAGACTCCAGAAATGCATCAGTGAGTTGCCCTTTCCTCTCTCTGGCAACTACCCTTGGCTCTGACCAGCACAAAGATTCTGAGTTCTTTGTGGCCTTGGGATGTAGGAGAGATGTTTGCCATGTCGTCTTCAACTGCCAGGGGAAGAACAGAATTACCCCTCCTCCCTCTTATCTGTAATTCACAGAGAACTTGGGGAAGGGTGTTTTTCTGTTATCACTGGGTCTTTTTGGAAGACAGAATCTTACCTCGCTGACATCTGCAAAAGCTCAGCATAAGGAGAGAAATCACACACCCTTCAGGGGGACTGGGTCGATGGCAACCACAAACAAGGGCTGGCAATGAATAAACCATGCCAAAATCTGTGAATCCCTGTTAGCAACCAAATCAACAAGGCAGAGCTGTTTTGTTCATTACCAGCGAGCATTTACAATTGAAAGCAGAAAAGCTGTGCAAAACATGTCTGTTGAATAGAGGAACGAAACCTCAGGAGTAACATTACCGGAAAAAATGCATGCACACAAGCACATTGTAATCACATCAGCTATTCCCATGATGCTCACAACATTTGCTTGCAACTGACTTTCACTCATCAAAACCAAACTTGCTGCATGTCTAGTGGTCTTTGTTTTAATTTTTTTTACTTTATATTCCACTTTCCTATAAACACTTAATACTGAATACAGTACTCCATAACTTTTGTCAGCAGTGTTTCCTGTGCTTTTTTACAAGGCCTTCCATGCATATGACGAAACTGTGAATTTGTTCACCAATAAGGTCATCCATATTGGAAACTTGTACATATTGGATAACAGCAGTCTGTGATCAACCTATAAATCTGGCGAACATGAAGTTATATTTTCCCCTGCATCAGGCACCTGCATCTAATGGCCTAGTTCACAAGTGCATGCAGATCCCTTGATGATGGCTGACTGTCTGAACTGGCTCCACTCTGAAACACTAAATCTGAGGTGACACAAGATGGAAATTTTACCTATGGCATTTGACCCGTGTAGGGTCATTTACACCTACAAGTCATCACTTGATGCTTTGAGATTTCAGATGATGCATGTGCAAGTATGAACTGGCCCAATGCCTCCAATAGCTATTTAGAATTAATTCATATAATGGCTTTCGCACGTATTTTCAAACTAGGTTAACTACTTCTGCATCTTGAACTAACTTACTGTGAGTGGGCAAGCAAATGGGTTCATGCGCCAAGATCACCTGCATACATTAACATCAGCAATTAGAATTTTGCATTTGGCCAATGACACACCAAGAATCAATCTGGGCATATGGCAAACACATTTCCACAAGTAATTGAAAAAAATCGAATTCAAATGAAACTAACTGGCAATATACTCTCAAAACTTTCATGTGAATTTATGGTTAATTACAATATATCTTAAATTTGAACTGAAGTGCCTGTTGACAAGCTACATTATTTTTTCAGCTTCAGTAAATTGCAAAAGGCCTTTCCAGTTGTTTTCTTAACCAGAAAACCCAAGCCCTGCATGCGGACTTCTCATCGGCGACTCTTGGCTGCGGTAAGGCCTGGGTGCTGACCAGATGGACATTTGGCCTGATCCAGCCATGCGTCTCTTATGTTCTCATGAGGCAATGCATTCCACACATGGCTGAATAACAATTGAAATAAATAGCATATTCTGGAGTCTAGGTAAACTTGAATTGGAACTCAGGGTAAGGAGGCTGCAATGATCAATATTTTATTAGGGTGTTTCTTCTAAAAGCTTAAGTGGAAATGTCTAATTAAAAAAATGCTAATGTGAAGGTATAGCCTTTCCTCTTCTAAGAGGCATATCTTATTCCCTCTTATGTATCTTTTTCTTTTCTAAAAGGCAGACAATGCAGGTTCACCACATACCTTCCTAATATGAATAAAATATTTGGTTTGCTATTAAACATATGCAAAGAAACTCAGCATCAAGAGAAGCATGTCTGGAGATGTTAAATACACCTTAGCAAATGTCTGGTAAAACATGTATAGTTGTCATTAGGAGACCCAACTTTTAATGTTAATTAGTGTTGTAGCTGTTAACACTTGCTAGATATATTTATAGATTATATAAATCTGCAAAGATATATTTCCAGGGCTCCGAGTGGAGGGCATTTGCCGTACGGCATGGTTGAGGCTCATCTGGAGAGCCCATCGTACTCCTGCATGGCCAGGGGATGGGATGGCTACCTGACACCCCCTCACTGGCCACAATGGACCTTTCAGGTATGGGCAGGCAGCACCCACAATGCCAATTGGGAGCAAGGGCATGAGAGCTGTGCTCAGCCTGCCCCTGGCCTATTTAAGGGAGCGGCCAAGTGCAGGCTGCCCTCTTGGTTGACTGTTGAAGGATTTTCTTATTCATCCACCCACCCAGTCTGTTAGGGGCCCGCCCAGTGGAGGAGTGGGTGAGTTGCATATGGACCTTGCTATGGTTTACTCAGATGCCTTATTTGCAGCCAGGGAGAAATTCTCTCCTGCAAGCAAATTGGCTGGCTTGCAGGTTTTCACCTACCTCATAGCAACTGTCACAACATTAAAGGATAAATAGCCTGTTAGAGGGGTCCTGGAGGGGCGGCTGTCTGGGAATCCGCAGGGAGACCAATGGGCCAATACCCCTCTCCCAATGGTGGCCTGTTCAGGTTTGTGACACCTAATCCATGTTGGGGGTGACTCCTCATGGGGCTCCTAAGCTGCCTGATGCTGGATACATGCCCAATGCCTTAGCCAAACCTACTATTTCCCATAATCAATAAAGTTGCGGCCTAATTGAACCCAATATCAGTCTCCTGTGTCCATTCATTTAAGCCTCCTTTGCACCAGCCACTAGGGCTGGGTGATATCTGGTTTTCAGCATCGTGATGTATATCAACAGCTAAACATAGTGATATACTGATATATCACGAGGTCTGAAATAAGGATAGAGCTATGTAGCAGCATTGGCTGGCTTCACAGTTTCCCCTGCATTGTGATTTTTACAGGTGCCTGCTCTTGTGATTCATTGCCCGTTGCAGGAGGCAGGGGAGAGCTGAGCCGGCAGAGTTAACAGGGGCTGCAGGAATCGAGAGGAGCACTGGCTGGCTTCACGATTTTTCCCACATTGTGATTTTTGCATAGCACACACACAAACATATCATAATTTGTGATATATCTCCAGGTCAAAAAAACTGAAACCAATATCATGATATGGACTTCAAATCTTTTTTGGACTATATATCGATATATTGCCCAGCCCTATCAGCCACAGTCATCATGCACCTTTGGTGACAATGGGTGCCTCCAAATTCATATGAGGAACATAATACCGCAATAACCATCTTGTTAGATCAGAGCAAAGGGCCCACCTAGACACACCTTCTGTTTCTGACACTGGCCTGTCATAGGCTCCTATCAAGCTCTGTAATGGAACATGAAGGCAACAAGTTTCTCCCATTTGCTCCATGACATGTCAATCAGAAGTCACAGTGCCTCGGGAGAGTGATAGCTCTATGGAGATTGGTCCTGAAACACAAACGTGAGGGTACGCAGGCACAACCTCTATAGCAATTACACAAGCAATGTTTTAAAGTCTCTAGTGTATCACTTTTGAAGCTATTGATGCAACAATACAAAATGGAAGCAGGTAATTCTTTAATTTACGAAAAGGTCCATTCACTGGCTTTTTTAATCTGTTGAAAATTGACATTAGTAACTGTGGGCATTTTCAGATATGAAATTAAAAGTACTTTTGAGCTTCACTGCCTTTATCTATATACATGTGTGAACGCTAATAACAGTAGAAAGAAAGTGGATGAGAACTCTTTTTATTCTGAATTTATAGCCTAGCCAATAACTTTTGAAATGTTTTTACATGCACAGTTAGCGCTCATATGTTGGTCACAGAACACAGAATTTCTCTCCCACATTAAAAGCTTTCATACAGGACACAGGGCAGGAGAGAATGAAAATTGTTTTATACCATATTGCTTTAAAGTATGTTGTTGAGAACCTTTAGAGCTATGACTAGCAGGTAGGGTCTATATGTGTAAATGGAAGAAGCATAAATGCACTGATCATATATAAAAGTAATTCAAAACTCCAAACCAGGAACATACAAAACACATTTTTTTTACAGCTCTATCAGTTGCACAATTACTTGGAAGTAAGCCCCACTGAGTTAAATAGGCCTTACTCGCAAGTAAATGAACAAAGAATGGTATCCATGGGGACTGTGTAGGGAAATATCCTGCAAGTTGGGAACTAGAATATAAGGTTTATTCAAGATGAACTGGACCACCAGAAAAAAATGAGATCTTGCATTTGCAATCTTAGAAATAACTTAAAACTTTTCTCCAATTAACAAAGCAAGCAAATCCCTCACCACCCCAAAAATACAAAGCTGTCTCTCTCAAAATAAAAAGGTCGATACAGCCTCATATACACAGAAAAGCATTTTGCAAAGTGCGCCCGCCCGCCCCCTTGTAACCTGTGATATTAATATTAATACCATTAACCAATTTTATTATGACTATTAATTCACAACGTGGCATATACAGTACTGTATTCTTTTCCCAAACGATGAAGAAGTTACCACCGTCTGTACCTGACCAGAAACGCAGGGAAGCGGATTTAGTGTCTCCTCGCCCCTTAAGGAGAAAATGTATCCCTTGGGAAGGCAACCAGTTGGCCAAGTAGCTACATCCACCCGGAGATTATGTTACCGAGGGTAAAAGGGTCTGCATTTCCCAGGGCGCCCCACCTCGCGGGGTCCCCACGACTCCCACTTGCCTGGGCTCCGCTGCCTCTTCTGGGGGGTCGGCGTCGGGCGCGCCCTCCTCGCCGATGTCGGGCAGAGTGACGAAGAGCAGCTGCTTGCCCGCGGGCGCGGCCCAAGCCCCGGGCTCCCTCGGTAGGGACGGCGCAGCCACCGCCGAGCGCGGAGAGCTGTTGCCTCCGGGGGACTTCGCCGCCGCCGCCGCCCCGCCGGGAGCGCCTCGACTGGCTGCCGCTATGCTAGACGAGCCCCCTGCGGGTTGCAAGGCGGCGGGGCGAGCGGGGAGAGACCCCAGCGGAGGCGGAGGAAGGGGCAGCAGCGCCTTGGGCTGAGGCGCGCTGCTGGAAGGGGCGGCGGCGGCGGCGGTTGGCGAGTAAGGCGGAGACGAGGAGGAAGAGGGCTTGAAGAGTTTGGCAAACACGGTGCCCAAGTCGAGCACGGCCACCTTCATGGTGCCGCCTCCGCCCGGCCCGTGGAGCTTCTCAGCGTCTCCTCAGCAAGAGCGGCAAGAGCGCCGCCGCCGCTTCCCTCAGGGACTCGGGGAGCGAAGGAGCGCCTTCTTTCACTCAGCCGCACGCTCGAGCGACGAGGCGCGAGACTCCGCCGTCAGAAGGCGGGAGAGTCTCCTGGTCTTGCGGCTGCCTGGGGCCTGCCTCGCTCGCTGGTGCCGCCGACGGAGGGCGGGAGCGCCCGTTGCTAAGCTAAACAAAAAAGCGAGCGAGGCGCCGGCAATTGGGCACTTAGTAGCAGCAGCTGCTTCTGCAGCCGCGCGCGCCCTCACAGAGCTCGAGGCGTCGGGAAGGAGGCGAGCAGGGAAGGGGCGTGCGCACGTCGGCGCCACAGCTCTGCCAAAACAGAAACCTGCAGGCTTGGGCGGGAAGCCCTGTGGGCCCGCTCTTCATTGTAACGCTCTTCATTGTAACTTTCTTTGGAGGTACTACTTCCCATATATTTTAAAGTATATGCCACATAGTTTCAGCCCGGTGCTGTGTAGACTTTTCCTTAGAAGTATGTAAAGCTTGGTAAAAGGCCTAAGTCTCACAAGAAGCAAGTGACGAGGGTCAACTGTTTCTCCCTTCGGACTGCAGGTGAAAGGCTGGGATGTCTGAATATGTTCTTCCCCTTTACGACAAATAACTCCCTGCCTCTAGAAAGCCATATGCCTCAGCAAAGGATCCCAGCCAAGCCTTCTCATTCATTAGCAGACTTGTAAGGAATGTGCTTGGAGAAATATTGTAAGAATGTGAGGCGTCATCCTGAGGCCGTACAGTGGAGTCTGCCTGTTTACAGTGGTACCTCGGGTTACATACGCTTCAGGTTACATACGCTTCAGGTTACAGACTCCGCTAACCCAGAAATAGTGCTTCAGGTTAAGAACTTTGCTTCAGGATGAGAACAGAAATCGGGCTCCGGCGGCGCGGCAGCAGCAGGAGGCCCCATTAGCTAAAGTGGTGCTTCAGGTTAAGAACAGTTTCGGGTTAAGTATGGACCTCCAGAACAAATTAAGTACTTAAGCCGAGCTACCACTGTAGCTTAAATCTGCTTAAATCCACTGCTTAAATCTGTGAGATGTTCCCATTCTAAGTGTGCCACGAGGTTCCAACCCTTCAAATATATTTTATCGGATGAATTTGGCAAGAGTAGGTTTGAAAGTCTGTCGTTTCGGGATTGGGTGTGAGTTTTCAGGAAGCCCACTTTTTTTGCTTCAGCTTCCTTCCCTGGGTACATGGATCTGTAGCAAACTTTGTTGACCCATCATGTGTGAAGAAGCCACGGGAGTTGTTTACACGTTAAAAAATAATATTCTTACTCAATATCTATGAAGAAAAAAAATATTTTATGTAAGTTGCATATTATTTAGTATATCAGTGAATAATTGTGTATGATGTGAAACCAACGACCTAGATTAAAACACATCCGGCTGTATTTAAGTGCCATAGGAATAGAAAACTGCTAAGCATTTCTCTCAGAAGTAAATCTGAGTTCAGCAGAATTCATTTCCCTAAGAAATGTGTTTAATAGCACAGTTCTGTGCATTTTTACTCAGAAGTACGGCCCACTGTATTTAAAGGTAAGACAGTGGTTTAAGAGTGCACCAGTGGGCAATTTCTGTTAGACCACATAATACCAACTGGTTGCCTGGATTATTGAAAAGAATGCTGAACAAGTTAGACTTTGGTCTGATTCAGGTGGTGCTTACATTCTTAAATTATAATTTACAGGAATACTCAGCAGATTAGTTACACCTTAATTCTGAATAGAACCAGATCATGTATTTTTGGTTTATAAACTTAAAACACATAATTGGATTTTGGTTTTTAAAAAGAGTAAAATACGCAAGACTGATCAGCAGAGCATTGTTAAGAACTGCATAATGCATTTATAGCACGTCTTGACAACTAAACTGCGACACAAAAAATGTGATTACCATTATCTAACAAGCTTTATTTTTCAAGAAAACTATTTCTTGTGCTGTGAAGAGAGCAAAGCAAACTCAAATTTCCAGAAAAGCTTTTTCTTTCTTTTTTTAATAGCAGGAATCTGGTCTTAGAGGAAAAACCGCCTTAGAGAAACATATTAGGGAAACAAGATTTGACTGATCTGTATAATCAGTTTATTGTGCAATAAAGATTCAGTGGGCCCAGGGCAAAGTTAGATGTGACATTTGTGCTATTACCAATTAACATGCAAGATTTGTTTGTTTGTAAATCGCCGCTAGGAGATGGGGATAGACAACTAGAGACACATAAACACCTCCCATTCTGGCATCTAGTGGTACTGATCTCTCTAAATGTGAGAGAGCATCCCATTTCTGGCTTTCAATATTAAAGCTGCACAGGAGTGTACCTAGGGGTTGGTTGGGTTGGCCCCTGCCAAGGGCGTAGTCCCAGAGGGATGCAAAAACCACGTCTCTGCTGTGGCTCGGAGTCTGTCCACCTGCTCTCTGGGCCACTCTTCCATTGCTGTGGCTGCCTCAACAGAACAGTGCAAGGGACCGCGGCGGGGGGGCATATAGCTCCTTGCCAGACAATGGCGGAAGGGAGCCTAGGTATGCCACTGACTGTGCAAATACAGTCAACTGATAGTGTGAATTACAGTGCACTTATAAGTATGTTTCCCAAGAAATAAGTCCCACGGTAGTCAGTGGACATACTTCGAAGTATGCACACCCAGGACTGCAGCATTGGCCATCATACATGCGTACAGTATGTGTTCAATGTGGCATGTGAAAACTCCACACAGTTGATCACAAATACCCTGCGAATTTGTGGTTGATATAGCCCACCATTTCTACTTTTCCTTCCCAGAGTCTCAAGATATTGTTGCCTTTAGTAGCCATGGCCATTAGCTGTGTGCCTTTGTGCAACCAAATGCAGATATTGTCTGTGCTGCAGCTGGCTGCGCATTCAGATGCTATCTTTCTTCCCACCGCTGATTTTGATGGAAGGTGTATTTCATTCATTGTGGCATTCTGAAATCCCTAACTGGCTGGCGGCATTTACTTTTACTCTCCAAGCAGTTTGCACAAGAATTCACATATACATAAGGAATGTTTGGGAGTGTAGTTGTAGGAAATTTACCATTGTATCAATATTTAAAACTAACTGCCTGAAACAAAAATAAGCCAGTTAACCTTCCACATGACAGCGTCCAGGTTTTTGACACATTTCTTTAAAGTTCAAAAACCCAGGAACCGTATAAATACAATACTCTATTTATTGGGCTATGGGACGCGGGTGGCGCTGTGGGTAAAACCTCAGCACCTAGGACTTGCCGATCGCATGGTCGGCGGTTCGAATCCCCGCGGCGGGGTGCGCTCCCGTCGTTCGGTCCCAGCGCCTGCCAACCTAGCAGTTTGAAAGCACCCCCGGGTGCAAGTAGATAAATAGGGACCGCCTTATAGCGGGAAGGTAAACGGCGTTCCGTGTGCTGCGCTGGCTTGCCAGATGCAGCTTGTCACGCTGGCCACGTGACCCAGAAGTGTCTGCGGACAGCGCTGGCTCCCGGCCTATAGAGTGAGATGAGCACACAACCCTAGAGTCTGGCAAGACTGGCCCGTACGGGCAGGGGTACCTTTACCTTTATCTTTATTTATTAGGCTAAACTAGCCAAATAAAGCTAACCTAGCCAAATGTTTATGAAAACATTTTTCACTGCATTAGTTCAGTGTGTTCAGAATTCATGGATACATTTACTTTTGTTTTCTAACTAATAGAACTATTTTATTGCAATTTATACTCAATGTGCAAGTTCAACATTACTGGCCAGCTGGAATTTTAAAAAAATGCACCCCAACCATAGGAAATATTGGAAACAGTTAATTTTGACATGGTCAAGGCCTTGGGGGTGCCCAGCAGATTCTCCCTGCTCAGTGGATCTCTATGCTTTAACACAAATTGCTCATAAAGCTCCTCTAAGTTTCCAAAAACAGCTTTGTTATGTGGCATCAGAGAGGCCACTTTTCAAGTACTTCACTTGAGTGCCTAAAACTGTTGACATGATTCTCTTGAGTACATGCTGTTTGTTTTATTCTACCAGAGGAATTTAGATCTTTATGAGCTCTTCTTTAAATAGGAGAAAGTATAATTTACCTGGAAAGAAACCTGGCATTACCACCTTGAAGCCTCCTCAGCTTTCATGGCTTAAACTAGACAAGAGAACTTGTCACTTCAAGTGAAAAGAGGATCAGAAAGATGAGATGAGCGCACCACAATGGCGATAATCCAATTACTGTAATTAAGGAATCGTCACATACCAGTTCATCTGTAAACAGGATCCTTTATTTTCAACTTTAGATCTTCTGAAAGCGTCCCTTCAGACACAATTTTTACATATACAAAAACTATTATTGTTTCTTTAAAATTTGCCCTTTCCCCTAAATTTCATAACAATTTAATTACCTAAACTGCATATTTTAAAAAATCAAGTTTATTCAAATAGAATATTTACAACCTGTCACTATGTACCAAAGCTGGGGGAGGTTTATTCAAGTAAGTATAAAACATTCTATATTTTTAATATATGTTCATGTAGTTACTGTATGGTTTGAAATATGTATTTTCTTAATCAGGTCATAAACAGGTCTTCTTGATTAGCATATATTTAACGCTGAATCTGAACAGAAATGAGAAAAATATTGTGAAAATATATAGACTTGACGCTGTCCTAATGAGAGTCCATAGATGCTCCCAAAATTGTGGCTTCTAATACCGAAAGAAATATACAAAAATATACAAAATATATTGAAATGAATATACAAAAATGTGTTTCTTTACTAACAAAATAAGAGACCCTGTGTGGTAATGCTTGTTTTCCCCAAATTTGTTTACACTGGATTTACTAAGGGACCATAGTGATAAAGTAATTGAACTTATCTCTTTCTTTTTGGTTGCACTATTTTGTATGTGCCAAAGCCAAAGAGATTCAGAAGGAATCCCCTTAGTCCTACACACACACACGGACACTTTGATAACCTGTACAGTCATAAATCTCTCCTCTGTTGAGTGAGCTGATCACTCACACCTTTTGTCTATTCCAGGTGATCTGCTAGAGCAAGCATGAATCAAAATGTAGAGTACTCATGCCTGTTTCCCAGAGAATATAAACAATAAACAACTAAGTTTCACACAGAGTAGACCCACTGAAACCAATGAACATGAGGTTGGATCCATTAATTTCAGCTCTGTTCTGAGTAAAATAGGGAGGGGAAGGGATAAGGAGAAGAAATGAGGTGAGTCAGCACTGAAAACTCTGAATGAAAAACTACATAACATTTTTTTAAACAAACAACTTTTTTAAAACAATACAGATACATTATTATAAACCTGTTAACTCTATATGCCTATTAACTATCACAAGAGACAGCCAATCCACCATATATTATTTAACTGTCATACCATTATCTACCCTAGGCATCAAGCCTTATCTACATTTTCTGCCTCCAAGCCCTGTATTTTCCAGCAAGAGGTATCAAGACTGCCTGCTGTAGAACAACTTTTCTTCTGTGGGAAGAAGACACAGCAGAGGGTGTTAAACAGAGCTCTCATCTGGCTGGGTAAATGATTTCCCCTTTCAAGTCTCTGTCTCCTCCTATGGGGTGGTGAGAAGGGATGTTGAGGCTACTATCTCTATCCTCTAGAACACTTTGGAAAGTTCTACATTCATTAGGTAACAACTTATATTTTTCCTGCATTCATAGTATATATTTTGGGTAGCATTTTGACCGCTAATTCAAGCATACAAAATAATTTACTGCAATCCTTTTTAAAATGTCATAGTACCCTGCTACTAGTTTTAAGTGCCAATTTTAACTGCTGGTAAAATGCACCATGACGATCTTTCTGTACTGGCCACTCCAAGATGCAGCGAGATTTGAACATTGCTCTTCGTAAGCAGAGTGCGTTTTTCAATTTGTAATCAGGAATGTCATGCCGAAAAACTAGAATGATGGAATCCCGACTTTGTTCAATGGCTTGCTGTATGGCATGATACACTTTGAACCTGGACAGAAGACAAAGGGGATGAGAGCTAATTTGGGACATGACAATATTTCACTTACAAATGTATGCAATTGGTCATTTTCTCTTACGATGTAATGACTCTGAGTCAATGGTAAAATACTAACAAAAACAATCAATGTTCACAGAATAGGGTATTCAGGTGGTCTTGTTTTTAGCTGAGGTTGTGATTATAATTGCACTCTACTTATGGTGCCCATGGTTCTACCCCATTGCAACCCTGTGAAGTAGAGGTTAGGCCGAGAGACAGTGATCATTTTTTCCATGAAAACTGTTTCCAGAAGTGTTGAGATTCTGCCATGAACCGCATGCAAGCAATTATGAAAGAGAAGTCAAAGACAGCTTAGGAACAACCTGCAACTTCTTTGAAGCCACATTTGTTTTAAGTCACAGCTTCTTCATGCCACAGCCAGTCAAGGAAGGATCTTGCAACAACCATGCAAATGTTATGATGCCCTGTAGCTAATACGTTTTGCCTATGTGACAAGACCAAATAATTTGGACTGAATGCCAGAAGCATTGCCCTTACTCTAAATCCATGAACACTACCACCTCTGTTTGCAACCTTCCCTAAATATATGAGAGTTGTCCCGTCCCCGACCCCCAGCTTGTGACCTCTCAAACCCTAGTTGCAAGAGCAAATAGTTATTATCCTCAGGGATGGTTCCCAGTTCTCGAGTCCTGACAATCTGAGTGCAACATATGGATTGCCTGCAAAGAGACTTGGTACAGTGCAAGATATTATCACCTATTCCTGCTCACAAAAGGAAGAATGGATTTAAGGCATTTGAGACACTAAGAAAATACAATTCAAATCATTTGAATCACTGTGCTTCCAGTTTTGAGTTTGCAACAATTTAACCATTTATTTCCAATTTTATAATTCATTTTTTCCTGTACAAGTGTGCATGCAAAAGTACAGCCCAGAAGGGGCCAAGCCTTTGTGAGTGTCCTAATAAAATTTCCCAAAAGCTCAAAGACCTTGTAAGATTTGCACCACCTTATAAGACTTCCACCACTATCTTCTCCTTTCCCAGCCTCTTAGGGCCCTTACAGAACATCTTTTCCACCTGGGGACTGGGACAGAAGCTAAAAGTCCCAGAAACTGTGGCAGGAAACTGACACTGCATTCCTCGTTTCCCCCAAAGAGACAGCCCCAAAGATTCTTTGACTGAGAACCACACCAATTTAAAGGTTTGAAGCTAGTTTAAGATGGTAGTGAAGACATGCTCTAAAAGCAACAACAAATAAATGGTATGTCAGTTATTAAAATAGGTTTAGCTTACCTTTTGCACCATGGATCTTTTAAGAGATGTTCAGTTACAACAAATATAATTTTCCTGCTCCTTTTTATACTGTCGATGATTGCTTCGAATTCAGATATTCCAGCTTCAAAATCTCGTTCTTCCAAGCAAAACCTAATTTCTGGTTGACTGTTTTCTTCAAGAGGAATAAAGTTTTTGGATACCCAGTTCATGTCTTTTTTGGCATGAATGATATAGGCATCATAATCAAACTGTAGCAGTGGCCTGTCTAATTCCCTGTGGCCAAAGACTCTGTTTACGGTCACACTCCAGAGAAATTTGATTCTCCACCCTTCAAAGTGGACGAGTAGGACTACAAAGATGAGGAGCAGTACCAAAGAAGTGCTCACAATGTAGACCAATTTAAAGGGTGCACTATCACATGGTGAGGTATCAAATTGTGTAATCCTGTTAGCATGATATTTAGAAGGGGTGTTGCAGATATAATTATTTAATCCTTGGATATATGTTATGCTTCCATTGAGCCAATTAACAAACCAAGCTATACTGTCACAAGTGCAGTCAAAAGGATTGCCCTCCATATTTATTTCCTTCAGATTTGTGAAAATTCGCCCAAACACTTTTTCGTCAACAGCCGTGATAAGGTTCTTCTCTAGGGAGAGTGAGCTCAGAGATGCCAGTTCATCGAAGACAAACTTTGGAAACAAATTAAAGTTATTTTTTCCGAAATTCAAGCTTCTTAATTGAGATAAGCCACTGAAAGCCTTTCCTGGAATCTCATCAAAGCCATTGGATTCTAAATCAAGTAAACGCAGGTTTCTAAGACCTTTTAAGAACAGAACAGGGCCATCTGGGTTGGCATGCTTCCACAGTCGATCCAGATTATTATGCTGCAAATCCAGAATTTCAAGCTGGTGGAGTCCATCAAATATCTCCTCTCTCATATTAGCTATGTTGTTGTTACCAAGATCTAGGATAGTCAAATTGCTTAACTTACGGAATGGTGAGGGAGAGATGGCAAGATTACTGCAACCAACCTTTCTGAGTCTCAGCTTTCTAAGGGTTGGAGTGAAAGTGAATGATTCACTTGTCAAATTCAGATGACTATTGTAAGAAAGATAGAGAGTCTCAATATTACTGAGACCTTGAAATTCATGGCCAGTGAGGTCCTGCTTAATATTATTTAAACCTAAATCCAGAGATGTTAATTGTCCCAACCAAGAAAAGGCCCCAGCCTTCATATAAGTGATTCCACATTTTGTTAGGTTGAGAAACTGCAATGAAGAATTAGCAAGAGATGAAAAGGTTTTCTCTGTTACTACAGTCAGATTGCACTCGCTTAAACTCAAGTTTTTCAAATTTTCTAAACCTTTAAATGTATTAGGGGTAATTTCCAGAAGTTTATTGCCATCCATAATAAGGCACTCTAAATGTTTTAACCACTGGAAAGCAGAATCATTAATTTTTCTTATATTAGAGTTTTCCAAATTCAGATAATTTACATTGTGCAACCCATAGAGGGAATGAGAATATATATATCTAATATTATTATTCATTAGATTCAAACTCTTTAAATTTTCAAAATAGACAAAAGAACCATTTTCAATGTGAGACAATTCATTTTTAGATAGGTCTAAAATTGTGAGGTTTGTTTCTTTCATTCCACTGAAAGTTGAGTTGGAAATCTGTGAAAGCTGCACATGGCTCAGTGAAAGATTCTGAATTCTTGTTCCTGATAATTCGGAACTAAGATTCTTTGTGCGATCAGGTCCCAATGGAACATTGTCAAGGAGAAGACCATAGAGATTACCAATAGCATGGAAACATCCTGGATGAAACTAGAAAGATACAAAACAATGGGGTTACAAAAACAGTGGCTGCATTAAATTAGCCCTGGACTGAAATATTCAGCTTATTCTGTTTCGGGATGTGTGTGACTGATTAATGGCAGAATTTTGTTGGGGAAAAACAGTATTTGTCATAATGTAGCATTGTTCCCATTGGGCCTTTCTGTAAGGGTGCACAGTTTACAGGCACCATGCCACCCTGGGGGCCCCTTTCTTTCTTCCCATATCACATCCAGCCTGCAGGAACCCAGCCCTCAGATGAAGAGAGACAAGCAGGTTGGCAGGCACATGCACAAGACCACAACCACAGGTGTTCTTCTGGAAAGATATTCTAGCCATTGTGGCCTGTGGTTGGGCCTCTGAGCTAACTGTCTTCCAGTCTTCTCTCTTGTTCTTGCAGTAGCAACAGCTGAATCATTGTGGGCTGGATGAAAACAGTCCAGCCACCATGGCCACAAGGAAAATGAAAGAGAAAACTGGGAGGCTCTTTCCAGACATTGTCCAAAAAATCATAGTAATTCTAATTCATTGCTTATCTTCAACTTGTTCATACAGTGGTACCTCGGGTTACATACGCTTCAGGTTACAGACTCCGCTAACCCAGAAATAGTACCTCGGGTTAAGAACTTTGCTTCAGGATGAGAACAGAAATCGTGTTCCAGCGGCAACAGGAGGCCCTATTAGCTAAAGTGGTGCTTCACGTTAAGAACAGTTTCAGGTTAAGAACAGACCTCCAGAACGAATTAAGTACTTAACCCGAGGTACCACTGTATTTAGTTTCAACTCTATGCAAGCTGTGTTCCCTCTTATGCAACAGGACATGCTAATCAAAATTCTTTAAGCTGCCAATCATATAAAGAAAACAGCAAATATATTAGTATTTTTACCTATAAGGAATTTAAACAACTACTCATTTATCAAATTCATTTAAAATAACACAAACCTGTATTATGGCCTGCTAAGGTTATCCTAACTCAATACAGTTAACATCTGTACAACTAACATCAATACAATAAGCCCATCTGTATAACATTTACCTCCATTGGGGGGTTAGATGACAAGTCCAGTTTTTTTAACGAAGAGTTTCTAAGAAAGCCTAGGTCTTCTTTCCTCAATTCAGTAATTTTATTCTGAGACATCACAAGTTCCTGAAGACTTTCCAGCTGTTGCTGGGAGCCTAGTCTGGGAGTACTTAAATGATTGTGAGAGACATCGAGCAAACTCAATTTCTGAGGAAGACAAAGGAGGAGAAAGTTATGTCTTTTCCTTCATCTCACAACTGATTGCATATCTTTTAAACTCAGTTTTACACTGTCTGGTTAGAACATGTCAAACAATGACTACAGCATGTTTGAAACGCTGTTTCAGATTGCATCAAGTTTTATCAGTTAGCGCTATCACCCTTTTAAGCTTGTAATCCTTAGGTGTCATGAAATAAAATATAATAATTCTATCATGGGAAAGGATGGATGATATCTTTATCCACTAAATCTATTTCAATACGATAGCTTTCAAACTTTCTTTCTGCACAGGATACATGGGGATTGTGCTTAATTTTCTCTTTTTCTCTGTGTGTGCAAAGAATTTACATTTGTATTCACAAATGACAAGTTCAAGATTCCTCAGGAGAAGTCATGAAAGGTGAAACTAATTCAAATGTGCTAGGTAGACAGGTCCTAGAAGTTTGTATGTATTTTGAGTGAATTTAATTCTAGGATTTCAGCTGGATAGAGTGTGGTGCTGATAATATGCCAAAGTTGCAGGTTCAATCCCGTAAGGGATAGTTGCATATTCCTGCATTGCGGGGGGCTGGACTAGATAATCCTCAGGGTCCCTTCCAACTATATGATTCTATGATTTAATTTAAACCATAGCTCACCAAACCTTTCAATCTGGATGTTTTAAGGTCCAGTGGCTCGTCCTTGAACCTGGACAATAAATGAAGCTTCTTTAAAAGCACAGTCAAAATACTTTCCTATGCTGCTGAATAGCAATAGCCCATGACCGTACATCTGTAACCAGGGGTAATGAATGAGGCCATGGATGAGCACCATGGCTGCATGGTCCTTCCATCATCTCACCCTGCTTTTTTATCCTGGTTTATTAACTGACACCCAAGTTCTTCAGTTTGAATGTAATGGGGAACTCCAGCTTAATTAACGCTTGTGGCAAAGTTCGTGTGCAGCAGGAGAAAGATTTCCTCTCTTCAATCTGGCATCAGTTGAGGTGTCAAGATACAACTCTCCAAGGATGCAATCTGTAGAAATTAATCTGTAACTAAAGTATATCAGAATTACTAATATGTGATGCACATGGAATCTGTTGCATGTACTTGCAGTGGATATGCTAGGAAGCCGTAGCCAACCACAGTTTTCCAGAATATGTACATGTACATTTATTACACAAGATCATAAACTTTCAAGCTTCTTATTCACTCCTGCACAGAAGTATTGACATTAACAAGTAGCCCCCTTACATATTTATGGATCACAGGATTGACTTAAAACTAGGGAACAGAGAGTAGGAAGAAATGTACAGTTGGTTGAATATGACACAAATGTATATAAAGGTAAAAGGTAAAGGACCCCTGGACAGTTAAGTCCAGTCAAATGCGATAATGGGGTGTGGCACTCATCTCGCTTCAGGCTGAGGAAGCCGTCATTTGTCCACAGACAGCTTTCCGGGTCATGGACAGGGCACCATGAGGGAAACCAGAGCACACAGAAATGCCAATTACCTTCCCCCCCGCAGTGGTACCTATTTATCTACTTGCACTGGTATGCTTTCAAACTGCTAGGTTGGCAGAAGCTGGGACAGAGCAATGGGAGCTCACCCCATCACATGGATTTGAACCGCCGACCTTCTCATCAGCAAGCTCAAGAGACTCAGTGGTTTAGACCACAGCACCACCCGTGTCCCTTATAGGATCTAATGAGGAGGAGGAGGCATATATTAGAGCATTTATTTCATTGTGTACTCAGCTTTAGGTTGAATCTTTGAATAAAGGATCTCAGGCCCATCTGGAAAATATCTCTACTTGATAAATTGGATAAGTAAGAAATAACTAAGAAGAAGAAGAAGAAGAAGAGTTTGGATTTGATATCCCGCCTTTCACTCCCCTTCAGGAGTCTCAAAGCGGCTAACATTCTCCTTTCCCTTCCTCCCCCACAACAAACACTCTGTGGGGTGAGTGGGGCTGAGAGACTTCAAAGAAGTGTGACTGGCCCAAGGTCACCCAGCAGCTGCATGTGGAGGAGCGGAGACGCGAACCCAGTTACCCAGATTACGAGACTACCGCTCTTAACCACTACACCACACTGGCTCTCCAGTGGCTAACTATTAGCCAGACAGATTGATCCATGATCTGTGTAAGGCAACTACTTACTGACATGTCTTACCCACCCCTCTTCCCTGCTGATCTGAATTTGACTCGGCCATCATCCAAGTTCATGTGCAAAATCACAGGTGTAAGTTGCTTCTTACCTTCAGATTGATGAAAGGCTCATTTTTTATTTCCAGTATATTGAATCCCAAATTAAGTTCTTTCAGATTGCCACAGTGAATAAAAACATCGTCAGGAAATTTATGCAGCTGATTATGTCCCAGCTTCAAAACCTTTAACAAAGGCAAATTCAAACACAGTTCTTGGTGCAGTTTAGAGATGGTGTTGAATCCTACATCTAAGTAAACAAGCTGTCCATACTTTGTAAGGTTTGCAGGTGGAAGTGTTTTTAGCTGGTTATGGGAAAGATCCAAAACTGTTATGTTGGTTGGGAGATCAGAGGGAATCTGAGTCAATTTTAAATGACTACAGTCTGCTGTATTATCTGTAATTTTGCAAACACTCCCAACTGATTCACAGTGAACCCAGATGGTCAAGAGGGTGAAAGACAAACATATCCAAAAAATAAAAGGCTTCTTCATTTTCCTGAAAAAGAAGATGCACATTTAACATTAATGTCTGCTTTTCAAAAAAATAAAATACAGGCTGAAGAAATGCAAGTAAGGCTCAATAATTTATATTTCTGAGATACATCATCAAACCTACAGCTGACAACCCTAACATTACCATCCTTTGTGTCTTAAATGATCAATATGGAGAAAGTTGAATACTGGACATATAAATGGGAGGGAAGGAATGTTTCCACTCTCTCAACCATCTCCATGGTATGCTCAAATCTGTCTCCTCCCAAGCATTTCCTCCAGGTGAGATGACAGGTAGGAAAGCTGAGTAAGGTCAGGCCATACGAAGGAAATGTGTTCTCTCCCTTGAGCAGTTTGCTCAATATACAATATAAAATATACAATATAAAAATAAAATATGCAATAAAATACAATTAAAAATCAACATGGACGTTTAACATGATGGGTGTGCTATCTCCTGTCTTCAGCCACAAATCCACAGATATAATGCAAACCACCTGAGTGAAGCTCGTGGATCACAATTTTGGAAACCCTAGTATGAAAATCTGAGAAATGAAGTAGGGGGCTAATTGAAACAAATCCTATGTAAACTGGAAGGGTAGGATGGGACCTACCAATACTTTTCATTGGTACCTTATCAGTCTGTAAGGCACACTTCCTGCTTTCTGGTGCTTGTCTTTGGTAAATCACAGTCCCTAATTTGCCTTTAAAAAACAACCACAACCCAGGACTACCCTTCCACTATGTTAGTAAGCTGACCATAAAAAGGAAACGGTTAGGACTAGCAACCCTGCTTCAGAAGCCAGTGGCTTTTGCAAACTAAAGGCTGCTCCAGAGCACCTTCCTTATTCAGCATTCATCCTGATTTGCTTGCCCAAAGCTGGCAAGACTATGACTAGTCTATACTGAACCCTCACCTTGATTTGCTTATTGGAGCAGTTATATAACAATGCGCATTCGTACAGATTTGCTTGAGGGGTGTTAACATGTCTCCCTGCTAATCATTCACTCAACCCACACTTTTCAGTGCAATTCCCCCATCACTTCCCGAAGAAGAAGAAGTCCATTAAATAAAAAAGTGGGTTTGTGGCACTGGGCCAAACATAGCACTTTAGTTGTGCAAACCTAAATTTCCAATGTCTCCCTCAAAATAATGTGCAATTCCTCTTAACAAGCGGGGCTGCCAGTTTTTCAAACCTCCAGCACTTGGGACCGTTTAACCACGATTGTGATCTGCAGGAAGCCACAACTGAAGCACAGTAGCAAAGGATTGGTTAGTAAGCTGGCAACACTCCACCAGCAGGCAGAAATGTGCTTTCAGCAGTTTGTTACACTGAAAATAGAAGGAAAGATGGCCATGGAGTCTTTGCTGTATACCACTTGTCACCTGCAAAATACTGAAGGATCTAACAAGTGGAGAGAGCCTGAACAATTGCTTAAACCTGGACTGAACTTCTCCAGGTTATACCAGAGCTGCAGCTATGAACCCTGAAATCTGGAACCTCCTCAGCTGAAGCCTTTGCATGTTTTTATTCAGCAGTAAACATTCCAGAAGCAAACACTGATTTTAAGAGGACTTATGCACTACACTAGATTTCACTACCACAGATCATGGGAACAAGACCCTTGAAACAGGTTAATATAAATATTGCAAGATTACAGTCTGGCTAGGATTTTCATGTTAACCTTTGGGGAAACTCTTTTCTTCTTTAACGATCTACTTCTTGGGACCTGGGAAGGGGCTGGCTCTTTTTCTTGTTTTTAATCAAAAGACCTTGATTTCTGGCAAGGGTGGGCTCAAACTGTATATCAACACCGCTGCCCAAACTGGAGAAAGTTTGAGCAACACCAGACTATACAGAACATACCTTCCTAAACTTTCAAAACAAATACTTGTTTCTTTTCTGTGGCATTACAGAGAAAAAGTATTGCTTCCTCTTCTATTTTTATTCCAGCTCAGTTTGCTTTGAGGTCTGCCAAAATTGCTACAACGTTCTAAACATCCCTCTTTGAATGCCGGTTTTTGTTTGTTTGTTTGTTTGTTTGTTTGTTTGTTTGTTTGTTTTTGCGCTCCAACTAGAATGCAATGCTTTTTTAAAAATTGCAAGACTGAAACTGAGTTCAGGCATGAATGAAGGGCCTGCAGGAGGCTGGAAGGAATGAAAGAATTCTGTTCTGAAAGCTGGCCCATAAAAAATAACTACCATAATAATTATACTTACTTTATATTTCTTTGCAGCCTGATTGTTCTCCACTCTGTTCAAGCAACTTCAGAGGCTGATCAACACATTCCTGGCACTGTAGCTCTTTGCTAACTATCTCCAAAACTTTCTCTTAAATATACCAGGAACTCAAAGAGGCCTGCACAATCTGACTCATCTGGAACAAAGGAAAGAAGGCAGGACACTGGAGTGGCAAGAAAAGCAGGAAGAAAGGATAAAGCCTCCTACTTTCGTTTCCCTCGCTCCTGCTCTGCAAACTTCAAGCACAGCCCATCTGTTTGGCTCACTTCCTTGTTCTCCTCTGCACTTAGAACTTTCAGATAACACATGTTAAGTGACCCACAACAAAAATTTCACCCTTGAAGATTTGTTCTTCTTGGTAAAGCACACTTGCACACACAATTGGAGCATGTTTTTAAAGCATGCTGAGGATTATTATTATTTAGATTTCTTACCTGCCTTTCACTACAAGATTCCATGCTGGGCTCTGGCAATTTAAAATTCATTATTAAAAACAGTTTGAAACAAATTACAACCACAGGAATAAGATACATATCTCTGTTGTCAAAGGCCAGGGTAAACAGGATTGAAAATACCCTTACTTTAGCATTTAGGGAGTTTGAGAGCAGTTTTCTTTATGCTGCATGCAGCCAACGAAAACAAATCTTTATTCATGCTTTATTCAGCCCATTGAATTGACCTGAGCTATATAACAGGGAAGGAACGCGGGTGGCGCTGTGGGTTAAACCACAGAGCCTAGGACTTGCAGATCAGAAGGTGGTGGTTCGAATCCCCACAACGGGGTGAGCTCCCATTGCTCGGTCCCTGCTCCTACCAACCTAGCAGTTCGAAAGCACATCAAAATGCAAGTAGATAAATACGTACCAGCGGGAAGGTAAACGGTGTTTTCGTGCGCTGCTCTGGTTCGCCAGAAGCGGCTTAGTCATGCTAGCCACATGACCCGGAAGCTGTACGCCGGCTCCCTCGGGCAATAAAGCGAGATGAGCACCACAACCCCAGAGTCGGCCACGACTGGACCTAATGGTCAGGGGTCCCTTTACCTTTTATATAACAGGAAGGAACTTCTCCCTCCACCATATGCATTCCTTGCTTAGGGTAGAGCACCACTCAGGCTATGAAGAATGCCACAGAAGAATGGTCTGTACTGCCCTATAATTGGCAATGGACTTGTTGCTGCTCATGCATGCATTTATTTATTTTTAATTTTGCTGCTCATGCATGGATTCTCATCAAAATGCCATCCAATCCCCGCCCCAAAGTAACCTGGATTAAATGGGAAGATATATGGAAGTAGGACTGGTTTTAAAAAAAACCTTCTTCACAGGGCTGCTGAAGCTAATCATGATGTCCTCACTGTGGAACTCCAGAGTAAATATATATATATATATAAATTAAAACCAGAAAATACTACCAAACTATATAAATATATCTGCACTTACCCCAGCAGGCAAAACATCAAGGGAAACCAAGGGAAAGGCAGAAAGGCAACCATCCCATCAAGACAGTAAGAGCTGTTCGACAGTGGGACGGTCTCCCTTCTTTGGAGTTTTTAAAGCAAAGGTTGGATGGCCATCTGTCATGGATGCTTTAGCTGAGATCCTTGCATTGCAGGGGGTTGGACTAGATGACCCTTGGAGTCCTTTCCAGCTCTACAATTCTTTGGTTCTATGACATAGGCATTACAACCTTTGTACTATACCTATCAATTTTAGGGGACCCCAGGTCCCTCAAATATTATATTGGAGTGGCCCCTAGAAGTTGGCAAGTACCACATGAACAGGGCTATAATTTAACCTGGTGGCCTCACCTGTATGTGCTGCAGAAGCCCACAAAGGAATCCATAGTGCAGTTGAGAATATACAATGTCAGGCTTAACATTCTATATGTAGGAGTGTCCAGTTTAAATAAGGAATAGGCATGTGCAGCACCACACGGTTCTATTCTTCGTTATTTCCCAGGATCATGTTTAAAGGAGACTAGAGCCAGTGTGGTGTAGTGGTTAAGAGCTGTAGACTCGTAATCTGGGGAACCGGGTTCGCTCCTCCGCTCCTCCACATGCAGCTGCTGGGTGACCTTGGGCTAGTCACACTTCTTTGAAGTCTCTCAGCCTCACTCACCTCACAGAGTGTTTGTTGTGGGGGAGGAAGGGAGAAGAGATTGTTAGCCACTTTGAGACTCCTTAAAGGGAGTGAAAGGCGGGATATCAAATCCAAACTCCTCTTCTTCTTCTTCTACGACTGCAGGGCCGTTGCAGCAAGGTGAGGTATGTCGGATGGACTCAGAATCCATATTAATCCACACGATGGCTTGATAGGAATAAGAAAAGCAAGTTGTTGACAGGATACCTTGATTCCACACCAGCTTAGGAAAACTTAGGAGGCACGGTATGCAATTGTATTTGTACCATGAATTCCCCATTAGAATGTGTGCCACACAACTGTGGCCTTCACCCCACACTGTTCTGCAGCCCTAAACTGAATCACTTCACCCAAGGTGGGGGTTGCTTGTTTGCTTGTTTTTTTGTTTGTTTATTACAAAAAATGAGAAAATACAGGAGATCACAGCTCTCTGTTCTCTTGGCCAGCCTGACTCAATTTCGCCGGCCAATTGGAGGGGGAAGTGAGATTGTACGCTGATACTAAAGCTGTAATCGATTAATCTACCACACATACCTGTAATGGACAGAGATGATTAGGCCATGATTATTCCTTAAGAGACAACATACTATGGCTAGTTTGACTGGGACCAAAATTGTAACAGGGGTGAGTATATAATGTATGTATTATGTACTTTTTTGTGTTTTTATATTGTGATTTTATCTTGTGAACCACCCTGAGACCTATTACTATTACTACTAATAATAATTCATTCCAAAATATGAATGTTTAATATAAAATAGAAGGTAAAGGCTGTAGTTATTTTAAGCTATTAATAATAATAAAGTGGAATAAGTTCTTTCATTTCCTTGCCTTGCCACTCAAGGCAGAAAATGAAAGAAGTGGCATTTCATGTGTAAGGAAGTATCTTTTTGTATGCATGATACTGTCTGAATGTTGTCCTATACACTCATAAAGAGCTTCCCACTTTTGTCTGGTTTACCAGTTTGCGGTGGGCTTTTTTTTTAAAGCATTAAACAACAGTATCAGGATCACTTCCCATTTGAGGCTGCATGTACACCAATGGTTTGTATTCATGTACTGGGATCCACATGAAGTGCTACATAATCGGTTCCAACATTTAACTGTCATTTTTCTGAGTGTATTCATCTCATGCTTGGGGGAAATGTGGCTATCCCAGCAAGTGACCTCATGGTGGGGGAAAGCAGGGGCAATTATTCGGCATATATGGCACTTGTCATCTAATTGAGATTTCAAGGCTGCATATCCCTGCATTGCAAGGGGTTGGACGAGATGATCCTCAGGGTCCCTTCCAACTCTATGATTCTATGAGATATCTTTGAGGAAGGCTCTCAAATTATACAACCCTCTAGTATTTCCTTTCATGTTGAGAAGTTGTCTTCAACTGCTGAAGGGTCCTCCATGGCCATGTTTCTTGAGGTTGCAATGATGTTATTTGAAGGGATGTGGTATCAGCAGTGCCCACTAGACCTGCTTGAGGTCATGAGGGCATTGCCAGTGGGGCCACTGAGCATGGCCAAGGTGTACTTGTTTTCTCCCTATCTTGCAAAGATACTGTGAAAATTAAAGAACTGCATTGTTACAAATACTTAGTACCTTGCTAAACTATGTGTCAGGAGTGTGTGCAGGAGCCAGGCCCTGTGACCAGTAGGACTTTGCAGGACTGGGGCCTTCCTAAGTTTGTTCTGAAGAGGCAAGGCACGGCCGCACAGGTGAGGCCAATTGGTAACTCACAGCACCTGGTGGCAAGAGCCAGGAAGGGATATAAGGTCAGCATTTCCCTTCAGCTCTTTGCCACAGCAACACGTTCCCTTCCTTGCTGTGTTTGGCTCCTTGATTCCTTACTTCTTGATCCTCGGACCCCTGACTTCGTAACTCCTTGCTTCTTGATCCTCGGACCCCTGACTTCGTGACTCCTTGCTTCCTGACCCTTGGCTTCCTGACCCCTGGCTTCTGGACTCCCATTCCTGCTCTCACCCCACCATCTTGTCCCCGCTCCTGATGTCCCCAGCTGGGACTTTGATCACCTGTGAACCAGACCGTGACACTATGTGCTATGATGGTAAGCTATGAGATTGCCCCCCCCAAGTTTGCACACACTTTGGTATTCAAATGAATTTTGCTCAGAGTAGACCCGCTTTTAATAGCCATGACTGAGTTAGAACTATTAATTTCAATAGGCCATCTATAGTGTGTTGTGATCAGAATAATAACGATAAAGAATGAGATAACAAAAGCATCCAACAGCACACACAGGCTGCAGTCCTAACCCCAGTACTGCTATAATGATGCCAGTGATAACATTGGTTAAAAACATCTCCTCCAAAGTAAATGGAAAACTTAGGAACACACACACACACTTAGGATGCAATTCTAACTTCACTACTATGGTGGTGCCAATGTGATGATATTGCTAAAAAACATCTCTTTCGAAGGAAATGGGATATTGTGCAAAGAGTACAGGAGAACAATGGAAACATTGAACAACACACACACCCCACTCATTTCAACAGAAGCCTCCAGAATTACCTCTTCTCTTCCACCTCACCAGTTTTTCCTCACCCCACACATGTATTCTGGCATAAGTGTGTGGTATGCAATCCTACTCATAGCAGACCCATTGAAGTAAATAGACATGATTGATTTAGGTTCATTAATTTCAACAGGTTTTCTCTGAGAAGAACTTAGTTGAGTACTGTGATGAATACTCCAAACACAAATGCAATGCTCCAAACGTACGTGCAAAGGAAGTTGTACAGGATAACTTTCAAATTCCAGAGAAATCTCCAGAATTCTTTCCCCTCATTCCCATTCCCTACGGGGGGGGGGGGGATAGGTTTTCTAAGCAAGCAAGTGCCCACCTTTTCTCACAACCATCTTCGCAGAGGAGGAAAGATGTGCTATTGCGTAAATGGATTAGCCACTATTTCTGTCTCCTTAAGTTGTACAAAAAAGCAATGGGCTTTACCAGTAACTCCTGCATAAATGAGAAATCCCCTGTATTACTCGTACAAAAGTCTGTTGGCTGTGAGTTCTGATACCTTTTCTTCTAGAGAAAAAAAAGCCCTGTTTGCCAATATGTCTGATTCTAATGTTGTGTTAGTGACATTCTCTTGATTGTGGTAAGAAAAGTGTACAAAAGAAAACAAATATTAAAAGGTGTCTCCCAAATCTGCTGAAAATGGGGAGAGAGAGAGAGAGAGAACAGAAAAGAGATTTGCAGGAATGAGTACTAGAAAATGGGGTAGATAGGATGTAGGTAAATATACATATGTAGTTGCTTGTGGATGATGTCTGAAATCCTGTGCAATACCTCCATCTAGTGGTTTGCTAACAGTGCTATGTGTCAACATAATGTTTACATGGGTGGAAATAACGGCAATCAATTACTGTGCAAGTACAAACTTGTTTATGTCTGCTTAAGAGCTTAACTGAAATTTCTCAGGAGAGCTTTTCCTGAGCAGTTTTGTTTTGTCCCTGCCCCTCAAAAAAGGCAGTTCTGCACAATGATATTCTCTAAATATCTGCCACCTTTTTTGTGGAAGAAACTATTTCCTCCCTCCTACCTGTTCCTCCCCCCATACCCTGGAATGATAGTAGGGCAACATTAACCTCTCTGTATGGGAAACCCCTGCAGACAGACAGTTGAGTTGTGTATCCACAGCAGCGACCAGAGGAGGAATGTGTAGAAAAAAGAAACACACAACTGGACACCTTCCTCTGCCTCGGCTGTAACAAAAGATGTCTCACCCGTATCAGTCTCTACAGCCACAGCAGACGCTGTAACTCTACAACAGTTTGACTTCACCCCTGAAGATACACTTTGTCATTATATCTTGGGATAGATGGATGCTAACAATAGTAGGTCAGGGGCATTGTGGTAAATGCAAAATGGAGGCCAGACTACCAGCATAGCTACCACACACACCCCAAAGAAAAACTTAGGAAAAAACAAAGATGTACTGTTGTTGATGGTATTGCATAGAATCAAACTGACAACCATTGTATCTACTCTAAT